TGGATGAAGATTGTGATGAGGTTACTGAGAGAGCTTGGGTAGTTGGCAGAGGATTGGGGATGATGAGGCGGATTGAGTACTGCTCATTGGAGGTGGGATGTTGGGGTGGTGGTAGACATGTTAGCTTTAAAAGGAAATTTGACTATTGTAGCAGGCGATTACAATCTCTTCGCAACAGATATGATAGGAGGAGCCTTGATGAGTTTTGCAAGATAAAAGAATATTACCTAGTTCTTCTTGAAAAGCGGAATATTTTTTGGAGCCAGCGCGCCAAAGCATTTTGGAATAAAGGGGCGATGTGAATTCCATCTTTCATCATCATCATTTACCTAATGCCACAAAGGCTCCCACCTACGGTGGGGCAAGGGAGTCGGATGTACGCAGTCTTACCCATGTACTAAAGCACAAAGAGACTGTATCTAGATGACCCATAGTGAAAATCGCGTCCAAAATTGCATACACTAAAGGGGCGATGCGAATTTCATATATTTTCATAATTTGGTGAAGCAGAGATAAAGGGGCAATAAAATTGTGGGTCTTCAGGCGGATGGGAATCGGTGGGTGACCAGATGAGAGGAAGTGGGGGAGATTATTGGTGACTATTTCTCCAAGATTTTTTATTGATGATATTTTACAGGAGGTGGCCCTAAAGCTAGATGTGAAAAAAATCAGTTGCACCCAGTGTCTTTTGATGAAGTAAGAAATACCTTATTTTCTATGCACCCGAGTAAATTTCCCGGGTCGGGATGATTTTAGTCTTTAGTTTTATCATCCCTTATAGAGTATTGTGGTCCCAGGTATTGTGCAGTTTTTTCAAAAGGCTTTTGAGAACATAGTGTTGCCTGCGACATTAAATCATACTCACCTTGTCCGTATTCCAAAAAAGAACAAATCTGAATCAATGATGGATTAGATACTGACTGCCCTTTGCAATGTCATATATAAGATCATCTCTAAGGTGTTGGCGAATAGATTAAAGCCTCTTCTGGATGGTTTATTATTGAAGAATCAAAGTGTGTGTACAAGGAAGAGACAAGGGGAAATAGGGTATGCGGCTGTCAAACTTTATATCAGTAAAGTCTATGACCGAGTTGAGTGGCTCTTTCTTGAAAGGATGTTGGGGTTGTTTGGTTTTCATGAGAGGTGGATAGCTTTAATCATGGAATGTGTAAGGACTGTTACATGTTTAATTCCTTTTGAAGTAGATGAGTTGGCCTGACTATTCCTATACGAGGTTTGAGACAAGGAGATCCTCTTTCTCCGTATCTTTTTATTCTTGTTGAGGAAAGATTAAGTTGTATGTTGAAGTGGCTAGAGGTGAATGGAAAAAATTCATGGAATAGCGATTGCTAGAGGAGCACCTAGGGTGTCCCACCTTCTCTTCGCGGATGATAGTTTCTTGTTTTTTCAACCCACGCATACAGAGGGGTCTGTTGTGCGAGCAGTCCCGGAAGATTATGCCTTGGTTTCTGGCCACGTACTTAATTATTTGAAATCAACTATTAACTTTACTTTGAATACTAGTGCAGGTGTTCTCAGTCCGTCTTGCTAATCAAGACAGCGTTTATCTTAACCTACCTGCTCTTGTAGTCAAGGAAGCATTTATCTCATTTAGTGGGCTAGTCAAGGTATACGGGATAGGGTAGTTTTTTCCGTATTCAAGATTGGAATGGCAGATTTTTATTCAGGGCAGGGCACGAAGTTTTACTTAAAGCTGTCATTCAAGCTTTACCAAATTATGCCATGAACGTCTTATTACTGTCGAAGGAGTAGGCATGACAATGGGTCGGGGCGGGGCAAGTAGTGCAAGACCCGGACCCGCCCAGTGACTTTACTAAGTGGACTCATCCCGTCCCGTGACCCGTACGGGTCAACACTTGTTGGCCCATTACTCGCCCCATGCAGGGCGGGTCCGCTCCGCCCAGCCGTAACTTAATTACCTGATGTGCATTTCCATTTGTGTGAAGTCGTAACCACTTGAATTTACGTAAAGTTTTAGTCTAAATAGTTATTTAAAAATCAATATATTAAATCAAAGTCATGTACAATACGCTAAAAATTTCAAAACGTAAGGAAAAAGTACCTAGACTTGAATAATTACTTTAAAAAATGCATAATTATTTTATATATATTAATAATTGAATATATAAAATGCTAAATATAGAAAGACATTGACAATCTGACGTTCATCTCATTCAAATATTAATATTATGTAGTAATATATTATAACACCAAAGAGTGTATGATTTATTATATACACAATATGTATATGTATATTTGTAGTATATTTTTTTTAAAAATTATATATACCTAATATATGTATATATTGAAGGGGTGGGGTGACACGGGTCAATATTAATACCCGGCCCCGCCCCATTGTGCGGGCGAGGCGGGCTGGACTCGCCCCATTTCTAAATCGGACCGAACCCGAACTAATTGTCTCAAACCGCCCCAGGTCCTTGCTGGCTGTTTTTTTTTTCTTCTGACAGGCCTATGATGGAGGTGTGCTCTGAAATAGAGAGATTGATGAAAGGGTATTGGTGGAACGGCAATTCTATCAAGGGGATTTGATGGTCAGATTGGAATAAGCTTTGTTGTCCAAAAACTAAAAGAGGATTGGGATTCCGCAAACTAAGAGAGTTTGACCTTGTTATATTGAGTAGACAATCCAATCGAAGTTATTTTCAGAACCTTTTCCTTTAGTTGCACGGATGTTTAAGGTAAGGTACTACCGTACTACCCTTGTACTTCCTTTATTGTTTCAGAACTTGGTAGTAACTCGTCTTTTATATGGAGAAGTATTTGGGAACCTAGGCAGGTTATTTAAATGGGATATCAGTAGTGCATTGGGGATGGCAGATCAGTTCGTATTTGGGGGATCGTTGGCTTTCACGCCCGATGGAGCCGATAGTACAATATGTCTAAGTTAATGGTCTTAAGTAGGCCTGTGGAAGGTTTATTCTATCCAAAAGATCGTCAACGGGATAGCGATTTGCTGCAGGATCTGTTGGATTCTCATGATAGAGATTTAGTGAAAAGTATTCATATCAGTAATAGAACGACTCGGGATCGGGGTTATTTGGGCTTGGTTGGGATGGACTAGAGTTTGGAATTTATATATTCCACCAAGTCATAAAAATTTCTGGAAAATATTTACATGTAACATTCCAACAGTGGACAAACTAAGGGAGCGGAGGGTTGACATGTCAAACCAGGGTGTTTTTTGCTATGGGGAGTCAAAATCTTGTGCACACATGTTTGTTACGTGCAACCTGGTAACTAGATTGTGGAAGAGAGTGGGATGGTTTGAGCACAGTGAAACTTGGAGGATTTTTATGGAGTGGACAGAAAGATTCTTCTCTTTTAAATTTGTGATGTACTGTTGGAGTTTAAAGCAGGGCCGGAATAGATCGATTTGGCATGTCGAAAGCTTGTGGAGTGGATCAGATCATTGTTGTGGCGAGGTCTGTTTTATTTGGGTGGCAAGCAACACAAGAGCAAGGCAGTGAGAGTTCAAACTGGGTTGGAAGGACTGTAGAGTTATGGGGGGGGAGAACCTGTGGAGGGCCAAATGAAGGTAAACGTTGATGCGGCTACTTGGATAGTTGGATGGATGTAAGACGAGGACTAGCATGGGTGGTGAGGGATGCGATTGGTCAGTTTGTGACAGCAAGTGCTCGACCTTGGGAGTGGAATATTTCACCGAAGGAAGCAGAGATTCTAGAGATCCCAGGAGGTGTTTTGCTGGCTGAAGGAGAATCGTTGGGATTTTCTTGACATCGGGATTGATGCTTCTCAAGTTTTTTCTGCTATTTACAACGGAGGTTATGTTGCTCAATTTGGTTTAATAGTGGAAGATGTTAGAGATTAAATGCAGAATTTTAACAACATTCCTATTGCTTTTGTGCGGCTGTATGCGAATCATGTTATTCGCAATCTTGCTCAAGCAATCACTTCTTTAAGCCATGACTTCACTAATAATAATTAAATCCCCATTGTGCAAAAAATATATAAAAGGAATATCATAATAGTAAATGTAATAAGTAGTATTAAATAAAAGTCATGTATAAATGATATGATATTCATAAAAAGGTCATTTTCTAGATATATCATCTATGTACATAAACAACTAAGGAGCGTATGCAAATTGTGCAAACAACTAGGGAGCGTATGCAAAACGTGTAGAATGTACGTGTAGAAACAAGGAAGCGAATTGATAGAAAAGAAAAACACTACATGGAACTGTTATAGTGCAGAACAATTATGGAAGCGAATTGGTAAAGTACAGTTCCATATTCTGCACTATCAATTCGCTTCCAACTTCTCCTTCACCAGTTGGATGAACAGTGGGATGTCAAGACCTGACAGAGTTCAGTTTGAACTAGGCCTGGACTCGGGCCGGGCGGCCCGACCCGGAACCGGCCCGGCCCGGCCACTGTAGCAACCGGCCCGGCCCGGTGGCCCGGTCCACCGGCGGTTCGGGTCGAACCGGCCCGGTGGTTCCCGGTTCCGGGCCCGGGCCTTCCATATGGTGAACCGGCCCGGCCGGTTCGGGCCCGGTCCGGGCCGGAAATAATTTTTTTTTTATTTTTTTTTGAAAATTTTTTATGTTTTGGGTTAGATTAGGTATTTTGGTCCATTTGAGGTGGTTTGGGGTGATTTGGGGTTGAGAAAGAGGGGTAGGGGATTAAATAAAGAAGCCAAAAAAAAAAAAAATAAGGCGGGTGGCTCGGCCCGGAACCGGCCCGGTCTGGCCCGGAACCGGCCACCCCCGGTTCGGGCTCGGGCCTCCATATTCTGAACCGAGGCCCGGCCGGGCCCAGGCCCGAGGCCCGAACCGGCCCGGTTCAGTCCACCCCTAGTTTGAACAAATGAAGAAACTGATGACTCCCCTGCAGCAAGAGAATCTCTTCATGGACAATTATGGAACTGATGGTAGCTAGTTTTTTTTTTAAGGAAGCGAATTGATAGTGCAGAACAATTATGGAACTGTACTTTACCAACCACCATAGTGCAGAACGATGTCCCAATCTTCATAATAACACATGTATGCATAGTCAATATAATTCTATTACTCCGTTCCTTGCCTCCATGGCTCCATTACATGTTGCACTACATACCTCAAGTCATTGCCTCAGAATCTAGAAAGACAGGTAACAAAATAAATATTTTTTGAAGTATATCCCTAAAGAGGGCACGGCAGCAGCTCGCAGAGTGTAACAATGAGCATGAAATTGTGTACTGCCATAGTGCCATCAATATTACTTCACGTACAATATCTTGTCATAAATAGATCCAGATATTACAGAGGTGAGCAACATCAATAAGTAAAGAATGAAATAGCTGATAACGTGTACTGCAACAATGGAGCTTCTAATTCCGGATGTGTTGTCATGCAGACAATGAAAAACCGTCTTCAAGGCATTGTGTTTTTGCATCTTGCATGACACGCTTCAGTACAGATGGGTTGCTAGTGATGATAGCATCCACACGTTCAATTAACATTTTCTTCATCGACTCTTCATCGTCAACTGTCCATGCATACACCTTTTTGTTTCTCCTGTCATTTAATTCGAAGTATTGGAGGGTGGGAGCTCAAGGTTAGGAGCATGTGAACTATCCAACACAACATAATTGTTGTTATGTACAGAGGAATTGGTAATAAAAGTATCATTCCATCTTCCCAGAATAAACTTCACTATGTTTTTACTGTTTTGCAATAAATTTTAGAGAAAAGGGTCAAATAGACACTTCTACTATTTCCAATAAATTTTAGGGAAAAGGGTCAAAAAAAGAGTATCATGTACAACAAAATACAATCATATAGAAATAAAATGTAGGACAACTGATACATCTTATAAAAATTCATATAGTTTTGAGAAATAATGTAGTACAACAAAATTACCCTAGTGCCGGCTACGGTGGGGTAAGGGGGTCAGATGTATGCAACCTTACCCCAGCACAAAGATACTGTTTACGGATGACCCGTGATGAAAATCGCGTCGAAAATTGCATGGACTAACTTACAGACCGTTGCTTCATAACAAGTAAGTGATGACAGTTTAGTGAGGGAAAATTGCCCTAAGGAGTAAAAACGCTTGTGTATTCCAATTTCCAAAAACGGACTTCCATGTTTTTATTTCCTATATAGGAGTAATTACTGCTATGTTTTGACAATATCAAACTTCAAACACGACAGTATTTTCCAAACTTGGTAATAATACCTCCTATTTGGGAAACAAAACATGAGTCCTATTTTGGAATTTCCAAATGTTTTTACTCCTACTTCTGGAATTTTCCCATTATTGAACCATTTTGCTTTTTTTTTCCATCATATTCCAAAGCCAAAAAATAGCGAGTCTTTTGGCTTCATTGGAAATGATGAAAAATGAGAAATAATGTAATAATAAGACGTAGCATAAAAATAGTATAAACCTAACAACCTAACAGGAGATAAGTAATTTAAAAAAGTTAAAAGGAAAAAATAAAATCAGGAGAATGGAAAAAATATAGTGAAAATATAAAAAATATAAAATTATAAATGTAAAAACCTTCTAAATAGATGTAGAATATATAAATGATTCCAAAACCAAAAAATGTTGACTTTGACATGATGCAATTTTTTGAAATCTGTATCTATATTTCTTTGAATTTTAACAATTTTTAGAGTTTATAAAAAATAAAAACTCTGCTATTACAGCCTTTACCGATCAAAAACTTATTAATGGCCGCATATATCAATTTTTTAAAGTAAGCATACTTATATGATACTACCTCTGTCCCAAAAAACGTTGTCATTAGACCCTCGTACTAAAGCGAAAATGGCGATTAGGCCCTTGATCAATTTAGTGTTTTAGCAGGTAGGCTTGAGGTTCCCGGTTAAAAGCCCACATGTCCTATTTTGGGAATTTTCCCTAAGATCTCTAAAAAAAATTATAAAGTCCATATGTCCCACAAAAAAGTCTTGTTTCAAGAACTTTTTTTCATCCCAAAAAGTGCATGTTTTACAAGTAAATTTTAATTTTTTATTACAACTACTACAAGCCAAGCGGCAAAAGTTTTTAGTAATTACTTCAAACAATCTTGGAAATAGGTTTTAGGAGTATAAAAGGTCATTCCTCACTTTTAAAAGATTATAACTTGAACTAAAAATAAAATACTTTTATCTTGCTAAAGTAGTACTACGGTACTACCTTTTTTTGGACGAGTATAAAATTTCAACCACACAATTTCATTTCATTAAAAGCAACAAGAGAAAATGTAGAACAAATTTTACCAAGTAGATGGTCATACTGGACTACTAGTATCTGAGAATGAGAAGTGGGTTCCCTTTTCGACAGTGGAAGATCTTTGGGATTCAGATGCAAATGAGGTTATTTGTCAAAAAGCGTTATTAGTCACGCGAGAAAATTGTCTGCCTACTCGGAATTTGAACACCCAAAAAAGAATTTACACAAAAAAGAATCAACGGTCGCATCTTATGAGAACTGGATCTCAAACACGAGAAGAGTTATGAAGATTTAGCTTAGAGTTGAAAATCAGTTTGGGAGGGCTTTCTTAATAATCTGATATGCTATGGGTTGGGTATTATTTTTAGTTTTTAGTTTCTAAGTTTAATTCGTTTCCTTTTTTCCTTTTTTCCCTTTTTTATCTTTTCCATGTGCTTTCCATTTCTCATTTAATATAGTTTCTTTTCACAATTAAAAAAAAAAACTAGTATCATTGTCTCACTGTAAGATGGTCATATGGGAAGTTTTTCTGTACAAAATGATGCAGTATGAGGTTGTGTTAGAGATCATACGCATGCAGGACTTTAACAAGCTTCTCATCAATTAAAGGATGGTAGACGCCGACCACCCACGCACCTCTCATCCTCAGTAATTGTGTTCTAGTTCCTGTTGAAGGGTCCATCATGACAATGTAACCTACCTGTAATGAACCCACAATGAATGTACAGAGATAGATTAGCCACAATAGAAGGGAAAGAGCTTTAATGAGATAGGAGCACCTGTTCACTCAGTATTCCGGCCACCAAAGCACCATCATTGGTGCACTTAGTAGGCCCTGAATTTATCTAAGTAGGTCCCTAGTTATTTAAGTATCTCACAAAATACACAAATATAGAGAAAAACAGAACAATCTGCTGTACCGTGGCATCTGGTGCAAGTCTAAGCACATCTCTTGGAATATTGTCACTTTTGGCCCATACAACACAATTCTTGCACCCTAACTTTGTATACTACAAAAGGTTCACAGAGACCATGCAACACATATAAAACATATTTGGAGTTGACTTAGCTTAAAATTTCGAGTGTTATACTGATGAATGCAGGTGCGTTTAATAACTGAACAAGGCATGTTTTAGTCATTTCTATAGTAACACAGTAGGTGTAGAAGAATTTTAGATACTTATAATGTGCTCATTGACATCAAACTCTTTTGGGACTAAGGCTTGGATGTTGTTGTGGTATTATGTGCTCATTGACATCCTAAAGTCAATTCAAAGACATATAATTAGAGATCTAGCTTCGCTGGTCTTGCTTCACTTGTTCTGCATGTACTTCCTCGGTCCCAAATTATAACATATAATGGGTATTTCGGATTACGATGTTGAACTGAAGTTAAAGCTAATTCTCCCGTGATAATATTTACTTTGTCATTTGTAATTAAAAGTTATATACTCTCAGTACCAGTTTAATGGCTCCATTTTGAATTTCCTAAGTCATGCTTCAGTAAAGTTCAACAATTAACTTCTGATAAACTGTTTATACTATAATATGAAAGTACTCTCGGCCAATTTGTCTTCATAGAAAAAGCAACAATTAATGTAAACTGAAACTGCAAAAAATGAATTTAATTATGCTAGCAATTTAACATAGAAAATAAAAGAGTTCAAGAGATTTGGATCGATCATATGAATAGTTAACATGGGACATAGGGAGTAGTAGTACTTACAGAGCTAAACCATGTACTGCAGTATATGCAATATAAATAATAAAGAAGTGCGGCAAACTTACAGAAGAAACAACATTGCCAGCAAGTCCTTTTTCGTATAAAGGAGGGCCAACTTTTACATCTAGAATTACTTCCCGTACTGAACCTGATATAAACTGGATAGATTCAAAAATATAAAAACCAGTGAACATTACAATTAATGAAAGATATAAAAAACCCTAATAAATACATTTCATGCATGTGCCAAGTTCTGCTATGACAAAGATTTGAAGTGAAACGAAACACTAATGGTTGGTGCCTGTTGGTTCAATGCAATGGATTGCTGGGGCTCGCCCTTTCCATTCTAAAGCAGAGACTAAAGGCTATGTCAACACCCAGAAAGTGGTAGCAGAAGGTAGGAAAGCCAAAGAAAAATAGGTTTTCAATGTTAGGTTTCACCTTGGTTAGGCGAAGGCAAATCAAAATTGAACAAAGTACTTAACTTTTCCATATTTTAGATTCCTTAGTCTCTGTATAATAGAAATATACTACGTATAAAGGATAGGCTTTAACAAATATCTGAAATTGATTTATTCAGTTCAAACAAAACTTACTTTTCCCCTTTTATTTCCTCCTTATTACCTTAAACCTAACATTTTCTGCACTCCAAACAGAACTAAAATGAAGAGAAAAACTGAAACAGAAAGAATAATGTAATTCATTCTGTATGAACCCCATAGAAGGAAGGGCATTAGAAATAAAACTAAAGAAGTAGGTGAAATACCATCAATATATCTTCAATTGTAGGAACTCCAAGATCATGATACTTCTGTTGAAGCTCAAAACTTGGTACAAGCTCTTTAATCTACAACCAGAAACTAAATATGATCTTATTCCATGTCACTTTCATAATTCATAGCAAACTAGTCAGAGTAAGAAAAAATGGATGCTCAAAGGATGGGAAGTTGATAGGAGCCAGGCTGGACTTACTAATCAGAGTAGATTCAAGGGCCAGGTCTACTCTAGGAGGAAACCGCAGAGTTAGTTATTAGAATATTTTGTTGTAACTAATAACTACTACAGTAGCTTGGGGAAGGGGAAATAGCTAATAAATAGAATAAGTCCCGTCAAGAATTGGCAGGCTGTTAGACCTTGAGTCTTGGGACTGGGAGATTAGAGAAGCCTGTTTCTCTTTTCTTGGGAGCTCGGTTGTACTGATTCTGTTGATTGAATAAACTGCTCTTGATTGTTGAATTTTTATTGCCTTGTATGTGAATTTCCTGAATTGTGTTAGTTGAATTGGGAGAATCCTAACATTTGGTATCAGAGAATTCGGTCCTGTGAATGGTAGGCACGAGAAGAAAAATGGATGAACGAGTGTCTGCGATCGAAAAAAGGATCGATGAATCAAGTGCGAGGTATGAAGAACTGTTAATGAGGATGCAAGCTGGTATCGATGAGTTGAGGAATCGGAAAACGGAGAGATCGCGGAGTAGGTCGCATCGATCGTCATCTTCTCACAACAGTTCGCATGTCAAACACAAGAAGAAAAGCGACAGTTCTAGTGATTCGGATTCTCAATCCGAACCTTCTGAGGCGCATAGCAGTCGCGATTCACACCGGAACCGCAGGAAGTATCAGCCGGTGGGGAGGAAAATCGATCTTCCTCTGTTTAATGGCAAGGACGTATTCGTTTGGCTTGTGCGCATGAACCGATACTTTCGGTTGAATCGGATTGATGAACAGGACAAAATTGATGTGGCAGTGGTGGCGATGGAGGACCAATCGTTGAGTTGGTTTCAATGGTGGGAAGGCCAATGTCGACAACAAAACTGGGCCACATTTACCAAAGCTCTAGCCAAACGATTTCAGCCAGATATGGTTCAGGATCCTTTGGGACCTCTGCTAAGTCTGAAACAGAAAGGAACAGTACAAGAGTACAGAGACCAGTTCGAAACCGCTATTGGTTTCCAAAAACACCTCACTGAAGAGGTTCTGAAGGGAATTTTTAGAAAGGGGTTGAGGAGGGACATTCGAGCTGAACTGAAATTGTATTCAACAAAAACCCTAGCTGCTGTTATGGATACTGCCACCTTAATTGACAATAAAAATTTGGAAACTCTTATTGTAAGGAATAAGGAAGAAGGAAGGAAGAGATCTCAAGCTAAAACTCAGAACTGGGGAGATGATAAGAGCTGGAAAAGTTACAAGGGCCCTACAGTTATTGTATCCAAGAAGATTGAAGATAGCCACAACATTAAAGAAGGAATTGAACAGAGTAAAAGGAACCTTGGTCCTAGATTAACTCAAGAGGAGCTCATGGAAAGGAGTAAAAAAGGACTGTGTTTTAAATGTGGTGACAATTGGGGTCGAGATCACATATGTAAGCTGAAAAACTATCATATGGTTCTGGTGCAACATTCAGAAGAAGAAGGAAGTTCTGAGGAAGGATCTGATAAGTCAGATGGAGATTTAACTGGTCACATGGAACACAAAGCAATGCAGCTGTCCATTCTAAGTAAGGAAGGTATTTCTTCTATTAAAACTTTTAAAGTTAAAGGAAGAATGAGTTGGCCTGGTGGGGAAAAAATGGTGAATATTCTCATAGATACTGGAGCATCACATAATTTCCTATCACAGAAGCTAGTGGAGGATTATAATATACCATTTCAACCTATACAAGGATTCAAGGTTCAAATTGGGAATGGAAAATGCATTCCCAATACTGGCAGGTGTACTGGGGTTAAGATGAAGGTTCAGGGCATGGATATTCATCAGACTTATTATCTACTTGAGTTAGGGGGCACTGATGTAGTGCTGGGAATGGAATGGTTAGCTGGTTTGGGAGACATGGTGGTTAATTTTAAGGAGCAAATCTTAAAATGGAAACAACAGGAGCAGAATTGTATCATCAAAGGGAATACAGCCTTGAATAAAATGGAAGTAGAATTGAACATCATGAATCATATATTGCAACAGAAAGGTGCTGGATATCTGTTGTATCATGAAGGGCAGCTAACCAGTTTGGAGCAGAAAGAAGAAATTGAAGGACCATGGAAGGAAATCATTTCAGAATTTCCTGAAGTTTTCACAGCTACATTGCCATTCCCACCTGCAAGGGCATGTGACCATGCTATCAATATCAAGGAAGGTGCTAAAATTCCTAATCTCAGACCATATAGATACTCATTTGATCAAAAGAATGAGATCGAGAGAGTCATTGGTGAAATGTTAAAAGATGGAATTATAAAACCCAGCCACAGTCCCTATAGTAGTCCCCTGTTACTAGTCAAGAAGAAGGATGGAGGTTGGAGGTGTTGTGGAGACTATAGAGCTCTTAACCAAATCACTATACCAGATCGGTTTCCAATTCCAGTTATAGAGGAGCTCCTTGATGAATTGAGTAATGCCAGGATTTTTTCAAAATTAGATCTCAAGTCTGGCTATCATCAGATTCGAATGAAGAGCAGCGATACTCATAAAACTGCCTTCCGGACCCACGAAGGCCATTACGAGTATTTAGTTATGCCTTTTGGGCTTACTAATGCTCCTTCTACCTTCCAGTCCTTAATGAATGAGGTATTAAGACCTTATTTAAGGAAATTTGCATTGGTATTTTTTGATGATATACTTGTGTACAGTGCTAATGAAGAGGATCATGCAAGGCATCTAAGACGGGTATTGGAAGCTTTGAAAAACAATCAGTTGGTTGCTAACCAAAAGAAATGTTCTTTTGGTCAAAAGGAATTGAATTATCTGGGCCATATCATATCTGAAAAAGGGGTTTCAGCAGATCCTAGTAAGATTGAAGCCATGATTAATTGGGCAATACCTAAAGATTTGAAAGAACTTCGAGGTTTTTTGGGTCTCACGGGGTATTACAGGAGGTTTGTTAAAGGATACAGTCATATGGCAGCACTCCTTACCAGTTTATTAAAGAAGGATGATTTTGTTTGGGATGCAAATGCTTTCAAGGCCTTTGAAGAGTTAAAGGCTGCAATGACTACCCTTCCAGTGTTGAGAACACCTGATTTTAACAAGGAGTTTGTGATAGAAACTGATGCAAGTGGAAGAGGTATAGGGGCTGTTCTGATGCAGGAAGGAGGTCCCATAGCATATATGAGCAAGGTTCTATCAGATAAACAGTTAGCCAAATCTGTATATGAGAAGGAGTTAATGGCTATAGTGTTTGCCATTCAAAAATGGAGACCTTACTTATTGGGAAGACAGTTTGTGGTGCACACGGACCAAAGAAGTTTGAGGTATTTGACTGAACAGAAAATAATGGGGGAAGACCAGCAAAAATGGATTGCAAAATTAATGGGGTACAATTTCTGCATCAAATATAAACCAGGGTGTGAGAATAAAGCTGCAGATGCATTGTCAAGAAAAACCACCTTATTGGCCTTATCTATCATCAATTGTCAAGAGTGGGAAGGATTGGAGGATGAGTTGTTGGCTGATAAAAAATGTTCTGACACAATCCAAAGAATTCCGAGTTTCCCTGATCAGATGGGGGAATTCAAATTGAAGAAAGGGTTGTTATATTACCAAGGCAGATTGGTAATACCACAAGGGTCCCCTAGAATATCCAAAATCCTACAAGAATATCATGATTCAGCAACCGGGGGACACTCAGGGACTTTCAGAACTATGAAAAGAATATCTACTTTGTTTTATTGGGTTGGAATGAGAAGAGATATTCAGAATTATGTACAGAGCTGTGAGGTATGTCAAAGAAACAAGTACCAGGCTTTAAAACCCGCAGGGTTATTGCATCCTTTGCCTATACCTGAACAGATTTGGACTGAAATCAGTATGGATTTTATTGGCGGTTTACCCAAGGCACAAGGAAAACATACTGTTTTGGTTGTGGTGGATTGGTTAACAAAATTTGCTCATTTTATAGCCTTAACCCATCCCTACAATGCAAAAGGAGTGGCGGAACTGTTTATAAAAGAAGTGGTAAGTCTCCATGGGTTTCCTAAATCCATAGTGAGTGATCGAGACAGTGTATTTTTGAGTTCTTTTTGGTCTGAACTTTTCAAGTTAGCAGGGACCAAACTGAAATACAGCACCGCTTATCATCCTCAATTTGATGGGCAAACAGAGGTGGTTAACAGGTGTTTGGAAACTTATTTGAGGTGCCTTACGGGAAGGAAACCTAGAGAATGGACTAGGTGGTTATCTTGGGCAGAATATTGGTATAACACCAATTACCATGTGTCCATTAAACAAACACCTTATCAAGCTTTATATGGACAAGAACCTCCTGCAGTGGTTAAGGGAGATGTAACCAAGACTGCTGTGGATGAAGTGGTTAGACTAACAGCAGAACGGAATGAAATGTTAGCAGAATTAAAGGAGAATTTGGCAGTGGCTCAAAATAAAATGAGGCAGCAAGCGAATAAGCACAGAAGAGAATTGAAACTGGAGGTGGGAGAACAAGTGTTTCTGAAAATTCAGCCATATAAAATGCAGAGTTTGGCAAGAAGAAGGAACCAAAAATTGAGCCCCAGATTTTATGGACCCTTTGAGATCCTTGAAAAGTTGAATGATGTGGCTTTTAAACTGAAATTACCAGAATATTGCTTGGTGCACCCAGTTTTTCATATATCATTATTGAAGAAGGCCCTAGCTCCTAATATGAAGTGCCAACCTTTGCCGAAAGGATTAACTGAAAATTGGGAATTACAGGTGTTCCCAGAAAGGGTGGTGGACTGCAGGAAGAATAAGGAAGGGGTAACTGAAGTGTTGGTTCAATGGAAAGACCTACCTGAGTTTGAGAGGACTTGGGAGGAACTACACAGCCTCAAAGCACAGTTTCCTGAGTGTCAGCTTGAGGACAAGCTGAATCTTCAGCCGGGGAGTATTGATAGGAGCCAGGCTGGACTTACTAATCAGAGTAGATTCAAGGGCCAAGTCTACTCTAGGAGGAAACCGCAGAGTTAGTTATTAGAATATTTTGTTGTAACTAATAACTACTACAGTAGCTTGGGGAAGGGGAAATAGCTAATAAATAGAATAAGTCCCGTCAAGAATTGGCAGGCTGTTAGACCTTGAGTCTTGGGACTGGGAGATTAGAGAAGCCTGTTTCTCTTTTCTTGGGAGCTCGGTTGTACTGATTCTGTTGATTGAATAAACTGCTCTTGATTGTTGAATTTTTATTGCCTTGTATGTGAATTTCCTGAATTGTGTTAGTTGAATTGGGAGAATCCTAACAGAAGTATGCCTTAATCTTTGTTGCCCGTGCATCAATCAACTCTAGACTCGTGACAAAATCAGAAAACATACAAATTTAGTATGCGAAATGCATGACTTTCAATGTTTACTTTTGGAAAGGTTCATCATAATTAGCTTGTAATTGTATACTACAAATGTTAATATCAATCATGATATTTTCCATAAAAGTGGAAATAATATATGATGTCGACAGCTTTAGAACATTAAAACTTTCTCTGATTTTTCATTCTTAAGAGATGAGTATAAGTGCCTATGCAAGTGGAGAGAGAGAAGCTCATCATAGGTGGCGGCCTCAGGCCCTCAACACGTGCCCGAGTTGTGATAGCTTTGAAAGTGTCCATAGCAGACGTGATTTTGGCACTATAAATGAAGCAAGAAGAACAATTTGAAATTTGCCACGATATATGAGTTGACTATTATGAACGCTAAGTTCAAGAAAAGTGACTCTCACTTTACAACATATGGAAGTGGAGAAAAGAGTGCCCAAATTCACTACTTAGTATGGACTAAGTGGAGAACTAGCTACAAGGATCCCTGGTGAAAATGTAGTCACTCAACACAGGAAACTAGTGCTTGAATTTCGAGGAAAAGAGCATAAAATGCAGGTTAAGTAATGAATGAAGTCAAAGATAAAGTGTTTGAAGTTGAGGAGGATCTCCAACAAAGCTTCGAACATAGGATGCTTGTTAATGAAGCAGATCATTAACAACAACAACAATACCCCAATGCTGCAAAGGATCCCACCTACGGTCGGGTAAAGGGGGTCGGATGTATACATCCTTACCCGGTACTAAAACACACAGACTGTTTTTGGATGACACATGATGAAAATCGCGTCGAAATTTGCATCGAATATTTGTTGCTTCATATTCTCTAGCTAAAAAATAGTGAGTCTTTGGCTCCATTGGAAATGATGGAAAAGAAGCAAACCATTAACAAAGTGCCAAAAAAGAGATACTTGAAGGATGTTTGCCACCAAAAAAGAACACATCTTAATGAAATGAGGAAGTGAAACAAATCATAATAAACCAAAGGAAATGCTACAAAAATCTAGAGAAGAGAAGAAAAAGATAAGCGAGCAATGAAGGAAGCGAGAGAGAAAGTGAACAAGGTGTTCAGTGTTCTATGAAAAATTGGATTCAAAACAACAACATTACCCCAGTGCCGCAAAGGCTCCCACTTACGGTGGGATAGGGGGTCGAATGTAAACAGCTTTACCCAATACCCATGTACTAACGCGCAGAGACATTATTCCCGAATGACCCGGGATAAAAAATTGTGTCGAAAATTGCATGGACTGACTGCTGCTTCATAATAAAGAAGCACAGACAGTTTAGTGAGCCATTTTTCTTTATTCAATCATATTCTCAGGCAAAAAAATAGTGAGTCTTTGGCTCCATTGGAAAAAATTGAATTCAAAAGAAGGATAAAAATATATTTAGACCCGCTCGTCTTTGAGATCTTAGTACTCAATATATAGGTAAAGTTAGGTGTGTGAAGGAGGTTGATCAACAGGGTATTTTAATGGAATATGAGGAAATAAAAGAGATGTGAAGATCTCACTTTAATACATTGTTCAATGGGAATCAAACGTAAGATATTGGTAATCTTACTAATCAGATTGTGTGGTAAATCAGGGTTTTGTGAGCAGGGTCCAAAAAAGAAAGGTAAAAGAGGCTTTAAGAAAGATGGAGCGGAAGAAAGTGGGGTCCATATTGCATACCGATTTGGATAAACAATAAAATGTTGATGAGTTGGCGAAAGAGAATTTGTACCTCCTTATTCATGAGTCGTACCATGAAAGTTTGAGAGAGAGTGATTGAGTAAAGGCTACGAAAAAGTGTGAAGAATTAAAAGACGTAAAAAGATCTGAAGGACCTCCATTTGGTGTGGTCGATGTATGCCAACTAAACTGAATGGGAAGTTTTATTGAAAAATAATTAGGCTTGTGTTATTGTATGGCATAGAATGTTAAGCCTTGAAACAATGGCTTACTCAAAGGATGAGTGTGGATCACATACACATGTTGCGGTATACTAGGATAGACCTCTTGATGAATGAGATAGTTAGGCGAAAAATGGAAGTAATACATCCATAAGTGGGCAAAAATAAGGTGTGTGGGTTGCTATTGTGATTATTTGACCATGTGTGTAGAAGACTGGGTGGTGCACATGTTAAATGAAATGAAATAAGGGGAGAGGAGGGGGGAGAGAGGAGAGGAAGGAGACAACCTAGACAGACAAGGATCATAGTGATAAAAAATGAAATGATATGATACTACTTGGGTTAAATGAGATTACAACTTTAGAGAGGGCGACGTGCAAGAAGAGAGTATGCTTGTGGGGGTCTGGGGGATTGATCTTATATTGTTTTTCTTCATCTTTCTGTACTTTTATTTAACTCTGTATTATATGTCAATTCATGTTGTAATATTGATATATGCCGACCCCAAACTCTTTCGGGAATAGGCTTGGATATTGTTCTTGTAAGAAGGTTGCAAGAGGAAAGGAGCGTAAAACATTTCCATTATTCTTTTTTGCATGAATCTAAAGTGTTAAGTAATTTTAAACACTTGGTTATTAAATTTATAAATCTAATGCCAGCACCCAACTAGTTGGGGTTAAGGTGCTAATATGTTGATGGTGAAAATTCAAATGTGCCTTTGGCAAACTGAAAGCAGATGCCCAAGGCAACTAAACAAAAAAGGCAATGATAAATTCTCAAATGGAAGCAAATAGTGGTGAGCACAGCTTAGATCCCACCTCTCTTGAGCTTAAGTACCCAGCCTTGAATGTGTCATTCCCAGATATATGCTGCAAATCCCTGCCTGCACAACGTCAAAATCAATTTTCCAGAAAATCTAAGAAACAAATATTAACAACAGCTTATTATTTGCAAGCATGCGAAATGAAAATTATACATATTTTGTGAGACAAAATCACATACCTGTCATGAAGAGCAAACAGAACTCCATCAGATGAACGAGAAACATCAACTTCAATACAGTCCACCTGAGAGTGTAGAGCAGTCTTGTATGCAGTTATCTGTCAAAAGAAGAATGTAAGAGTCACCAAAAGCTCATCATGGAGTACAACAATAGCGGCTGTGTGGCCGTCATTGTGACATATGAGAAATTATCCTTCTATTCCTTGAAGTGGTAAGAATTAAAGAAGCAAAGGCATGTCCTATCTTACAAGAATTCACATCTTATGGAATAATAGTTATTCTATGTAGCTTTATGGAATAGAGTTGTTGAAATCATAAACCCTTGCTTATTGGGCTCAGCCCACTTTATGTAGTCAGCCCTAGATGTACCCTAGTTATAGCTATAAATAAATATTGTTGTAATCTTTACTATGCAGTACATTGCTCATTTTGACTCATGACCAATTGAATGTAAGCCTTTAGTTTTTCCAATAAGATCATTTTAGTAAGGAAAAACCGACAATAATAATCCCACCTTTGACCGGTCTTCTCATAATAATACCACATTTTACATAATCCCAGAATAATCTTACATTTGCACATCATCTTCTTTATGTAGTCAGCCCTAGATGTACCCTAGTTATAGCTATAAATAAATATTGTTGTAATCTTTACTATGCAGTACATTGCTCATTTTGACTCATGACCAATTGAATGTAAGCCTTTAGTTTTCCCAATAAGATCATTTTAGTAAGGAAAAACCGACAATAATAATCCCACCTTTGACCGGTCTGCTCATAATAATACCACATTTTACATAATCCCAGAATAATCTCACCTTTGCACATCATCTTCTTTCGTTGAACCCTAACTGCTTGATGACCTACTATACCAAGTTTTTTGCCTTTTCTTTGGAAACCTTATATAAATAATCCCACTTTTCACAAATCTGCTCAAAACAGTCTCGCGTTTCATTTTTCTTTCTTTTCTTCATCTTCTTATTATTTCATTTCTTTAATTTGTTTATGTTTTTGCTTTCCTTTTTCTCAATAGTTTTTTCTTTCTTCTCCTTCCCCATTATTACCTTTTCCCTTTTTATGTATTACTATACGGTTAATTTTCTTTTAAAGACTATTATCCCACATTACTCGTTTTTATTTACTCGTTATTTATTTCAATTTTTGTTCTTTAAATTCTCCTTTAAAGCTTCTACTCCTCTTCATGTAAATATATGTAATTTTTCTCTCTTAAATTTTAAATTTCTCACATCACTATTTCTTGTTTTATTTTTATTTAAGTTTTATTTTTTCCTAATCTTTTTATCACAAATATTTTTCCCATAGTTGATGAAATTTATAAGTGAACTTACTTAGAAAAATACGATATGCAGAACGGAGAAAAAATATATTGATGGTGGAATTCGGGTCACAAGAAGAAAGAAAAGAAGAAAAAACACAAAAAAAAGTAATAAGAAGAAAACGGGGGAAAGTGAAAATAAAAAGAAATCATAACAAAAAATAAAGTGGGAAAAAGATCTTTAATAAAAAGAGAATGATTAAGAAGAGAAACACATAAAAAGATAAATGAAATAAAAGTACGGGAAGAAAAAAAATGACAACTAAAATCTGTCTGGAAAGGAAATTTTTCTAAAAAACTCTCCTAATAGAGTGAGAAATAGAATAATAAATTTGGAAAAGAAATAAAAGCAAAAGGATGAAAAAAAATATAAAATTGTCTAGGGATAAAATTAATGAAAAAGAATTTAGGGTGAAAAAAAAAATGAAACATGGGACTATTTTGAGCAGATTTGTGAAAGGTGGGATTATTATGTAAGGTTTCCAAAGAAAAGACAAAAAAATGGTATAGTAGATCATGAACATAAATGTGGGATTATTTTGGGCTGCAAAGGTGAGATTATTTTGGGATTACGTAAAGTGGGATTATTATGAGAAGACCGGTCAAATGTGGGATTACTATTGTCAATTTTTCCTTTTAGTAATTCGAATTCTACAGAAGATAGAAAAACATAAATAAAAAAGGAGTAGATTCATTGATGTGACTTAAATGCTAACAAACTCAGCAAAGGATAGTTGGAATTAAGGATTTGGGATGTGAGGATACGACTTTGAGAGCCTAAAGCCTGATGGAATCCAACCAATGACATGAAAATGATTACTGTGTTTGGAAAAGCCATTGAAGAATCCCCGCCATGAGCACAGACCAAAGGAGGATTTCTCAACCAACTGCATTTCTGTTCTTGCACCTACACAATAACAACGATGTGTAAGAGTCTAGCAAAATGCAAAGAAATTGACCATCCAATAGCCACTCTGGAGTATATAAGGCTACACCGCCTCGACTTATACACTTATATGATAACATCCAGTCTAATACACTGCTACATTCATGATCCATACCCTACTGCACTTTGAGTTATTACCATCACAATGGCCAAAATTAAGGAATCTTAACTCTCATGGAAAGATGAAAATGATATATACTAAAGGTGTTGCCAAACCTATAGGACATACCTAATATATGTGCATCAAAAGTTAAAACAAAATAAAGAAGTATTTCTCAGATATATTGTACTGTCGATGAAAAACATTTTTACTTTATTAAGAATGCTTCCATCAAGAATCAGGCAATTGCCTGTGATTGATTTTGTTAGGTACTCGAGAATTTGATGGTGAACCGAAGTAGATTAAGATGAAAATTGATAAAACTGAAAAGAGAAGGTACAAGAGACACTTCGAGTAGTCTCAACACTCCCAAGTCCCAGTCCCAATTTCTACCTGCCCATCTCCTCACCACTCTCACTTATTTATTCTATTTCTAATGGGCCAGCCCACTATTACATTTTATTAAAAAACTCAGTATTATTTCTATTATATCTCACTCCATAAGCTCACAAGTCCAGTTCTCTATCAGATTTGCAAAATCAAATTGGGCATTTGATCTACCTTCACATTTATATGGACAAAATTGCCGGGTAGATTGGATTCCAGAGAGCATTTCTAGGTCAATAACAACACCTCTCATCTTATATAATCATACATAACGAGTTAGTTGAACAAATTATCTAACAAACAAACAACAAGAAGAACAACACTGTCTAAATAGGTTCAGAAAGACCTCCATACTGATAGGACAAGAGGTGTGGAGCATTACAATAAGGTGTATGTAAGGAAGGGAAAAAGGGGCGGGAGTTAATAAAATTGTATGATGGGTGCTGGAAGTTATAAATAGGGGCGGGAAGGCTAATAAAGTTAGGCTGGTTTTCTATTATGGTTGGTTGGGCTAGGCTAGAGAGAGAAACTTCCCCTTCTACCTCTAGATTCCATTGTTTCGAACTTCCTCCTCTGTAAACTTTACAAGAATTACTCTGAGAATTCCTCAGAATTCCTTTTCATTAATAAAATTCAGTTTACAGGAATTATTTACCTATCATTGGTATCAGAGCAGTTCGGTCCTGTAGCCAGTGAATGAGAATTGTCAAGTCCCAAATGGAGAATCGACTGGATAACATCGAGCAGTATATGAAGCGGAACACAACTGATGTGCGACCGATGGTGGCAAATCTGGAGCAAAACAAAACTGATGTGCGATCGGTGGTGGATGAGTTGCGCAACATGCGTGGTTTGATGGAAAGCATGATGGCTGAGTTTCGTAATTTGCGACAACTGGCGACGAACAAGGATCGCCCCTACTGTTAGCACTGGTTCGCCGTCACATTCCCAGGGTAATCCACACATGTCTCCAAATCCTTCATACGTACGTCAGTACGTGAACATGATCGTGTTAATAGAGGATTTGAAAGGACTGGTAGAGAGGTGGGTTTACCTCAGTTTAACGGTGAAGATGTGAAGGGTTGGATTATTAGAGTAGAAAGCTTTTTCAAATTAAACCATGTAACCGAGCAGAAGAAGATTGAGCGGGTGATGCTGGTCATGGAAGAAAAAGACCTGAATTGGTTTCAGTGGTAGGAAGGGCAGAATGAGGAGAGAACCTGGGAATTGTTCAAGGAGGCGCTGATGAGGAGATTCCAACCGGAGCTCTTACAGAATCCTTTGGACCAATGCTTAGTCTGAGACAGACTGGTTCAGTAATGGAGTAGTAATGGAGTACAGGGAACGTTTGAAATGGTGGTGGGCCCCTTACAACACACTGATGAGCAAATGCTTAAAGGAATCTACCTAAATGGGTTAAGGGAAGAGATGAAAGAAGAACTTAAACTACATATCTATGGTTTTGGAGGGAAAGAATGCTGCACTGAGAGGTGGAAAACTGAGGGAAGGAGAGCAGAGAAGTGGAACGGAAAAGGGAGAAGCCCTGGGAAAACCTCAACAATGGATAGATGGCAGCAAATGGAGGTTCCAATCCAATGCTACTGATAAATTTAAAGCTGAGAACCGTGTGGGAGAATCTACTGAACCAAACACCAGCTGGAAACAGAGACAGAGGTTGACACAAACTGAGCTACAAGAAAGAAGCAGGAAGGGGTTATGTTTTAAATGTGGAGAAAGATAGGGAAAAGGACATGTCTGTAAAATGAAACACAGCCAGAAGAAGAGGGAGTGAAGCATGACCAGGAGGGGGAAACAGAAGTGGAAATTGCCTCTATAGAATCCCAACCTATGCTCTTATCTGCAATGAGTAAACAAGGGATCACCACTCCCAAAACATTCAAACTGAAAGGAGAGTTGCTAATAAATGGGCATAACAAAACAGTGTTGATCCTAGTGGATAGTGGAGCTGCTCACAACTTCATCTCTAACAGTTTATCTGAGCTTATGGACAGGGCTTTGTTGCTGGAAAAAAAGAACAAGGCGTCGAGAGGGGGGAAATATAAGGAAGAAGACAAAAAGGGGCAGAAAGAACAAAGGAGGGACTATGGTCAGGCCTTTGAACGGGGTGTAAGCAGTGAAGGGTAGAGCACCTGTTATTCAGTCAAAACTCCTGAGAGAACACTTTCAGATAACAAACTGAAGGAGTTACCAAAACCGAGAAACACATGGGAGGGAGGCTTAAGGTTGGCACAAGCAGAGTTAGAAGGAAGAAGTAAAAATGGCTTATGCTTTAAATGTGGAATGAAACATTATCATTTGTCTTGATGAAAGAGCACAGAAGAAGAGAAGAGAACAAGTGATCAGCAGCCGGAACTGGATGTACCAGATAATCTGCTGAAACCAAATGCCGAAGCAGTTTCTTACTACCCACCTTGAGGACAAGGTGGTAGTTATGAGGGAGTGATGAGAATAATATTGCAAGAATAATACTCCCTCCGTCCCATTTTGGTTGTCCTACTTTCCTTTTTGGGTTGTCCCAAAATGAATGGCATGTTTCCCTTTTTAGCAAGAAATATGTGATCCTTATCATTTCACCTTATTCTACTCAAATCTCAACCACAACTTTTACTTTTCAACCACTTTATTAATAATTGTGCCAAATTGAAAGAGGACAACCATTATGGGACGGAGGTAGTACTAAACATAGGGCTGGGAACTGTCCTTTTACGATAGAATTATAATAATGAGCGGGTAAGGGGAGAAGGATAAGCAGAATTGGGAGAGTGAGACCTCACAAAAAGTCTCACCTATTTCTGTTTTTCTCTTTTCTTCGATTTCTATCATTGTAATCCTGAAATCTTCATCCATAAACTATTAATCTCTGGCTCTCAACTGCGTTGGTGGAGGTTCCTAACACTTTCCCACTTATAAAATATGTCCTAACGCACATCTATTTATTTATGAATGACCTGTGAAGTCATCTTTCATAATAGAATAGAAGCAGTAGTCACGCAAGCTTTTGTGGAGTCGACAACTCACTTTGATTCTTCATGTTTTGGTTTAGCCCTTGATTGGCAGAGTGAGCGGGGACGTTGCCTTCTTTGTAAGCGTCTGAGACGGATCCGGGCTAGCCAGTGTGACCTATAAATCTTTAATTGGAAGTTGTTCAAGAGGTTTGACATGTATGGGCACTCAAACCAGACTATGTTGCCAGAAAACAGACTCTCTTCATAACATACTAACATAGTTTGGTAAGATGGTGTGGTGCACTGCTATGATAAAAAGTAGGATGGGACAGATGACCCCACGGGGGACATCCTAACACCCTAGAATCTGATTAGGAAAGAAGTGAAGTTAGCTCGGATGATAGATCTGTTAGTGAGTACAAGGTAGAGAGTCACACGGGGTTCAGTTTGACTAGATTCTCCCCTCTCTTGAGATTGGAAGTTAAATTTTAATATCGACTCCCTTTTCTCATTCTAAGAGCAACGAAGTTGAATTCGAGTGAAAGCAGTTCGCTCAGGTAGCTTGAATTATAACTCCTCCCCCCACCAAGGGAAGAGGACTCACTTCAAGAGCGAGGTTTTCAATACAGGTATCCTTTTCCTCTTCTTGCCCGGGCTTGGCTTTCAGACATGACACCCTTATTGTTGGAGCGAAAGGGATTGCCTCGTTTTGGGGTTATCTTGTTGAATGTCCGTTGAATCGTATATAACTTATTGTCTAACTTACAGGTTGTGTAAGAGTGGTCTAACTGCAACCAGATGACCCCACGGGGGACATCCTAACACCCTAGAATCTGAATAGAAAAGAAGTGAAGTTAGCTTGTATGACAATATGACATATCATTTCTGTTAGCAAACACAAGCTGGGGAGTCACATGAGGTTCAGTTTGACTAGATTCTCCCCTCTCTTGAGATTGGAAGTTAAGTTTTGATGTCAAATCCCTTTTCTCATTATAGCAGTGAAGTTGAATTAGAGTGAAAAGCAGTTAGCTCAAGTAGCTTTAACTATAACTCTTCCTCCCACTGAGAGAAGAGGGCTCACAACAAGAGCGAGGTTTTCAATACAGGTATCCTACCTATCAGTAGTTAAACAAATTATGTATGAACAAAAAAAAATGTTGTTCACATATCTCAATGCTCCAACCACTATCGCCTTAATTTCACCCCTCCCTATCCAAACTCAAATTTGTTGTTACAAATGGATCGTCATCACCTATCTCACAAATGGGGCCACAATTTGTTATATTAAAAATGGTTTAAATATGTTTTTAGTCCCTGCAAATATAATACATGTTGTTTTACATCCCTGCAAAATTATTTTTTTTGTTTTTCGTCCCTGCAAAATAACTCTGATTAATAGATTTCCTCTAATTCTTTGTCATGTTATTAAAAAAGTATTTAATTTTATTTTTTCAAGGTTTTTAATATATATTTTTAAAATGTGAAAAGTAGTTTTACATTGTTTTTACTCTCATATTAGCCACAAAAAAAAAAAATTAAAAGGACAAATTTAAATATTTCTAATAGATTTATGTAATAGACAGTAACTTTTTTTGTGAGTAGATTAGTTTCCGAATCAGAGATGGACCAAAAACAAAATAGTCCATATTGCAGGGATGAAAAATAAGAAAAATATTTTGCAGGGACTTAAAACAAATTGTGTCATATTTGCAGGGACTAAAAACATATTTAAGCCATTTAAAATTAAAGACGCCATGACTTGAACTTTATTTATAAAAATTGAATGAGATTTAGGTATAATAAGCAAAATCTTAGAATAAAAATGGTTATTTTCACCAAATGAGAAGTTGGAGTAACATCATCTTTAGTACAGAACTAATAAATAATTTAAGTAAATACTAATTGGTTAAAAGCATATCTATTTATTACTGCATCACACATTCTGCTTTCATTTTCTCTGGTTGTAAAACCTTTAAAGTGTACAGGACTTCTAGTGAAGCACAAATTATTCAATTCAAAAGAAGAAGTATTCATCTATTTAATCTCTAATGTACAAGTTCGAACAACTGCACTGGTAAAACGCAAAAACAAACAATACACCCTACAAAATTCTGCATAGAGGGTACGAAAGCTTGCCTGAATGAAGCGACGGAGTTTGAAGTGAAAGAAGAGGGGCGGGATAATTGCTATGAAGGCGATGCTAATAAGAAGATAACGGAATATCCGCTTCCTAGAAGCGAGGCCTCTAAGTTTAGGAGTAAAGATCCTGGTTAGCGATAAGAGAGCACTGCGCCTCTCGAGGCGGAGCCGCCGCGTTTGCCTGTCCCATCTCGAGATAAAGGACTGCATTTCCATCAATGGATCGTTCAAATGGATGTAGAACAAATATGAATTTCTAATCTATATAATACTCCGTATAATAAAGCAAACCTTGATGGAATGCTTTAGAGAAATTTTTTACGTGTGGCAATGCTCTTCATGCTAAAATTTGCCAAGTGGCAACTCAGTATTAAATTTTAATCCATATACCTAAATAAAAGCTACGTAATAAATCATATATGAGACAACATAATTAAACTCATGTACACTCCATAATAAATATACACAACATTTATATATGCATTTAAAAGAAGATAGAAGGAAAACCTGTTTAGCTTCTAAAATTGCATGTATACATAAAACAAACCTTTTGAGCTTCTAACACATGTTACATAATCATATCATTTATAAGCATTTCAAATGATCAAGAAAAACGCATTCACCTTCCGCCAAACATATATATACTTCGTATTAAAGTAATGACTATGTCCTTTCGGATGGACAAGCCTTCTGTCTGGCCGACATTGTTTGGGACGGTTTCCGGTTGGAGATTTTGAACATGTTATGCATGAAGTTTAGATTATATCCACAAAAATTCAGTATAAATTCAACTGAGAGGTCAGTTAATTAAATTATTGAAACAAATTGTGCCAACATAAAAGCTCAATTGTTTTAAATAATTTGTTTAATAGAAATTACACCAAAAAAGACTAAATTATGGAAAAAATAAAAAAATAGAACTTCTTATATTTTTATTTCAAAATAGGACCATATTATTCCTATTTGGAAACATACTATATTTCATTCCATTCTTAACCCTCCTTTAAACATGAGTAAAAGATAGTCAAAGGTCATAATTAAATGTTTTAATTCATAATAAATTCATAAAAATTAATTATAATTGTAGAAAAATAATAAAAAATAATAATAAAATATTTATAAAATAAAAAATATATTTTTTTAAAAACAATTAAAAAATTAATAAAAACATACTAAAAATCTATATTAAAAATAAAAACAAATATGGATATCTTTCCCACCGCCTTTACTGTCTCCCTGCACCATCACCTTCGACAAGTGTAAAAATTATTGCCTTTTTTCTAAAAAAAAAATGCCTTTTCTAAAAAAATGCTAAAAAAGGCATGTTACTCTTTGAGAATGCCAAAATTTTCATTGAATCTGCCATAAATATGGCATTCCTAATGCATGTGACCCCCCCCCCCCCGGTGATCGGATGTGGTGGTACTGGGGTGTAAGAGGCGACGGTGATTTTTTTTGCATTTTTATTTTTTTTAAAGTTATTTTGAAAAAAAATTATTATTATTATTTAATATTTTTGTTAATATTTTTTACGATTTTTAATTACTTTTATGATTTTTTCTGATTTAAAACATTTCAATAGCTACAAGGGTATATTTGTCCAAAACACACATAATTAGTCCTATGAAACATATTTTAGTTTTTTTGGTCTTAGACATACATAACAGCTCCTAGATCACAAAGTCTGCCGCATTATATTAACATGCATGTAAAGGTCGATTCATTATTTTGTCCAAGTTTTATTAGTATTTCTCTCCTAATTTAAGTCTCATTTGTATTCCCTGCATTCTCGACTAAACTGTATATTCAATTCTATTTTTCAACAATAATCTTTATGATTTCTAAAATAGTCTTAGCGACTCAATATAACTCATTGAGTTGCACGGTTTATGAGTTGACATGTGATTTAGTGTCGCTTCTATTTTCTAAAATATATTTTCATTCATATTTTTTCATAACAAACATTACAACATATTTTTCCGTGCGATGCACGGGTACATATACTAGTTTCTAATAACTGTGAGAAAAGCAGGTGTCACACTACGGAGGTTAGGGGATTGCTAGGCGCACCCACACTTAATCTAACTCACGTTGACACTTTTAAGTTTTAACCTTGTTTATGTAGCCTTGCAAATTAAACTCATGCGTGCCAAGTCTAAAATGAAACCTTTTTTTTCAATTACCTAATTTACAAACTACAAAGGATAATAGATGCAGCCGCACATTCTTTTGGCCTGTTTTTTTTTTAAATTTCAAATCTTTTTCAAGGTTCTCTTTGTTAAATAAATTTAAATATTTGTGTTTCGTTTACACTTATTCACAGGATTTTAATGATCAAAATAATGTTTTGTTTTTCAAATAATAATTTTATTTACTTATTTATTAGTAAAATATGATTTATAATTTCTTTTCATAATCCAGAGTCCTTTTGATAACAGTGAAATTGGCTAAATCGACTGCTTTTGCTGGAATTTATGAAGTTTTGGCTGAAGTGGCTGGATTGGCTGATTCTGCTGATTTATGAAAAAAAAATTAAAATATTTTTATTAATAAATAAAGAAAAAAATATATGAATAAATAGCTAAAATGATCTTTTACAGTAACTTCAGCCAATACAGTCAGAAAAGTAATTTCAACAGTTCAACCTTACTTTGTCTTATTATTACACATTTCAGCGCGTGAAAATCATAAGTTACGTGTTTGGTGAAAACTTTGGCTGATAATCTGATAAGCCGAAAATCATAGTGTTGGGTTAATGGCCCAAGCAGAGGGCCGGCCCATTTACGCCCTCAGTTGGACAAACGTCCAGACAGGTCATTGGGTGGATCAAGCTAACAGGCAAACATGGTACAGACGAACGTCGGATCCAAGGCCTAGGCTTATTGACCCATCCCGACGAGTGTCCATACATACGATAGTGGATCAGGCCCACAACCAGTGTAGTAACAACGAACGTCTCAGGATCAAACCTCCAGACAATCACAGCAGCGTCCAATCCATGTGACAAATCATCTAAGGGCCAGGATACGAACGGCCCATTACCCTTTGCAAGTAACGCCAGGAGCAGGCGCCCTTATCCGGACTGGACGAACGTCTCCACAACTAGGCGGGACACCCAGCGTAGCCAACTGCCCATTGGTAGTATAAATAGCAGCATTTATTTCATTGTAAGGGGTTGACAACTTACTATTCTTAGCATTCTAGTTTATAGCATTCTTACTCGCAGCTCTTCTACTGCCTTGTAAGACGAACGGCCGACGAGTCTTAGCGAAAGTATTGTATTGGGGAGTTATTAACTGATTAATAATACTTAATCTCTTACTTGCTACTTACTGTTTCTTAATCCGTCTCACTTGTTAGTTGGGCTAGTTTCTCCACACACACTCCATTCGAAACTCTTGGGCTTACGTGTTGAACCTGAGGGTTGAAGGAATAAACCTCAACACATAGTCTCCAAACGAGCTCTCAGTCGATTTCACCAATTCAACCGCTTTGGTCAGAATTTTACCACTTGTTACAAATTCAATCGATTCACCCTGTTTCAGGGTTATCGAACGGAATTTGCATAATACTGCCTCTGTCCCCCTATGTTTGGGACAAGAGAAGGTGGCACAGTTTTTAATAAAAGTGGGTTTATGTGGTTGATATTGAATTGATAAAGTAAGAATAAAGTAAGAATAATTTAGAACCACGCAAACTTTACCAAATAAGGTATGTGACAAACTTAGTGGGACGAACCGAAATGGTAAAATAAGACAATCATAGCGGGAAGGAGGGAGTAGTTATAAAAAAGTCATTTTGAACAGTTAAATATATCACAAATCTCGTTCGATAACCATAATTTCATTTTGTCACCATTATCAACCAATTTATTGTAAGAAACGAAACTTTTAATATCATGTGATGAATTCTATAATAATCGATATAAGTAAAGTTATAGTTACTCTGTGGCTAATTTAGTTGAAGTTACTCTATATGATCGTTTAATTGTTTTTCATATGGGTTTTCTTTTATTTTATTACTAAAATATTTTTTTTCGTTATTCCAAATCTCAATATCAATCTACCACACCAACACTTTTCAAACAATAATTAATTTGATAAAAATGGAGTCACAATACCTTTTCAAATACATATGTACGGACAGTCACTCCCCCATCTTAATTTGGTTGCAAATTATAAGTAATATTCTTGAAAAACCTTAAGTTATAAACAAAAGAATATCTTCTATTAAAGATCAGGAATACCATTGCAAAAAAAAAAGACCAGGAATACAAGTTAGTGAAATAGTATGCTTCACGCTGATAGCAAAATATTACTCCCTCCGTCCCGGAAAATTGTTTCTGCATTGACTTGGAACCAGGGGCGGATGCACGTTCTGTTAAGGGGGGCAGCTACCCCCAACAGGCAGCTGCCCCCAACAAAAGGCCAGTTTTACCTTGAAATCTATTAGAAAAATTAACAACACCAGGCATTTGCCCCCAATTAAAAATAATAGTTGCCCCTATAAGTTATCGAGTGGCTGAATTTAAACAACGAGAGGGATATTGATCACCTTTGCGGCTTTGCCCCCTATGTAGCGTTATAGGAGAAGAGTTTAAACGGATTTTAATTCATACGAAGTACTTCCTCCGTTCTTAAATAAGTGCAACAGTCAACATTTCACACTTGTCGAGACACAACTTTGACCATTAATATATACAATTCTTTATTTGTAAAAAAATTAAAAAAAATAGATTTTGAAAATTTAAAATGAGACAAATTTAACAATATTTTTTTCAAGAAAATATATTAATACATTATTTAATTAAACGTAGTCAAAGTACAACATGTGAATAGTGTAAAATTCAACATGTTGCACTTATTAAAGAACAGAGGTAGTATTCATTAGCAGATAGCATTGAGAACAGCATTTTTCTCTTTCCCGGCTTATAAATGTAAACTAACTATTGAATTCACTGTACTATAATTGAATTAGCTAAATTCTAATAGTATTTAACCATAAAATCAGCTATGTAGTTCGTAGTATAATGTAATTAAATTTGTACTTAACACTTTTAGGCAAAAATATTACTTATATACTATCGTACTACGTAGTTACAAATACAGTAACTATTGGTTATTTTAGATTGTCAAATTAAGATTTGAAGTATATTTTTCTAGATTTCGGACACGTTTTTTAATATAACACATTCATCAATGGTGTAAAGTTCAAATACAATTGTACTCTGTTATCTAATAATAGGAGTGAGCATATTGATTTGGTTTAATCGAACTGAACCATACCAAACTGAACTAAATGGGACCGAAACCGGACCATATGTAATTTGGTTTGAGTTTGGTAGTATTTCTTCCAAACCGAACAAAACCAAACCGAATTAAAGAAATGCAATAAAACCTTCATATATTATGTAAAAATAACAAATTCAAACCGAATCAAACTGAACTAAATCAAACTGAACCGGACCAAACAAAAAATAGTATGTTTTTTGTTTTGTAACAATTCTCTCAATCCGTTCCAAACCGAACCGAACAGAAACTGATAAAAACCGGATCGAAAACCGATATGCCCACTCCTATCTAATAATACTTCTCAATGTGTAGTATACTTTATCATGGCTTTGTATAGTGTAGTATACTTTACTAAATTACTGGTGGGTGTAGCTCAACTAGTAGCGAGAGAGTGCCACAAGGGTTAGGTCCCAGGTTCGACTCCCGGCAACTGCGATGAAATGTTACTCAATATAGGGCCTCTGTAAGTACCGGGGACGGAGCCCCACTCTCTATCTGTCAGATTGTGATTATAGTCCAATTTACATCCTCTCATCGTGCCGTCCGGTCGGTGTTTGGGGGCCCCCAGGAATGGGGTGTCATCCTTTTTTTACTTTATTAAATTTGAAATAGTTATTGTGTGCTCTATCACAATTTTGGGCTACAACCTTTTATACTTTGTTCCACTTTTTTATCGCGATGTAATTCATTAATTTTTCGCCCCCAACACTATCTTTTTCTGGATCCGCCATTGCTTGGAACGGAGTTTAAAAAAGTGGGAATAAAGTGGAAATGTATGGTTGTGGTTGAGTAAGAAAAAGGTAAATGAATTGTAGCCAAAAAAACTTTCCAAAAGGGGAAAGTGGAACAATTTTTTGGGACGGTCCAAAAAGGAAATCGGGAACAATTTTCCGGGATAGAGGGAGTATAATTTGGATTATTGAACAACGTTGTTAATTTGAAAAAGTTAAAACCCCTATAAACATACACGCTAGTCGCTAGGACATAATTGTCCAACAACGTTGCAAAATGGGTGCGCTTAGCAAAAACAATGGTGCGCAGAGATGCACCGCGGAAGTTATCAGCACTTCTCCTCCGCAGTTATGTTTGGCTGACTTTGAGTATTTGTTCCCCACCCCAGCACCTTTGAAATAAATTTCCCACCCCAGCACCTTTGAAATAAATTTTAAATAAATTTCCCACCCCAGCACCTTTGAAATAAATTTTACAGTTATGTATTATGGATGTCCATTAGTTCATAGCCCGAGACCATATGTACTGGCTCCCCTCTTATATATACATCCTCATATATGAATGAAAGCATGTTTTTGATTTGATTCATTACACGTTATCAGCACCAGCCCTAACCCTAACCTTTTTCCTCTTTCCATTCTTTCCCTTTTTTGTTTTCGCCGTTGAAGGCCGATATCCATACCTACTACGGCAGTTCGTTAGTGGCCCAGACAAAACAATGAGATCATTTCCATAATCTTATTGATCTTTGGCAGGCATAACACTTCAAATTACAGAGGAAAGACCGGGTAAATTAAAGTCGTGTGAGAGAGACATATGGAGTTAGCCGCATTAACGCTACGTACAACTCATGGCCGACTAGAGCGGAGCCATCAACGATCAATCGGAACCATATTATTCAGATTTCAAAACCTATCACGCATTTGATAAGTATTAAATTCAGTAATTGGAACCACAACCATTAATAACCAAATTATAAGCACAGACTCACGGAGTAACAATCAATTAATTATTTTTATACTTTTTATTTTTTATTACATTCAATTGAAGAAATGAAGTATCCGTTTTTTGCACACTTAACAGATAAATCAAACAAATTGCTCGTAGTATTAATTTTGTTTTCAAAATAATTTGATAGAAATAAAAAAAGTGTAATAATAGTCTCATTTCCTAAAATGTAATGTTTTATTTTTCTAAACTCAATGTTGATATAATGATTAAAATTCCTTTTTTTGAAAGAGATAATGATTAAAATTCTAAGCCCCGGATTAGCAATTGTGTTAACACTTCATATTTTTCTACATCTTCATACAATTCTTTATTAATTATTAACATAGTGATGAAAATAATAACCACCATATTGTTGAAATTAAAAACGAAATTAAAACTATTACATATTCAAATATAGATTTTTTTAAAGAATACTTCTCATCAAGCAGCTTACCTTATTTAACTAGGATGAAAATTGACATCATACATAAACATATATATATATATTGATATATATTTTCACAAGTAAATACGTTTAGCCTAGCCAAAAGACTGAAAAAGTAAATATGTTGGGTTGTTTTTTTATTTTTACAACTACAATTTAAATATGTCTTCACTTTTGAAATAAATTCCTAATCCAAATTAGGAAATCTTTATATGTTTACAAATTCCTAATTTTATTCAATAGAATGTTTTAATTGGATTGATTTCAGTTCCAGATTAAATCATATCAGATCAAACTTTAATATAATAATAATAGTAATACTAACAATAATAATAGTAATAATATTAGTAATAATAACAGTAATAATAATAGTAATAATAATAATAACAATAATAATAATAATAAGGGAAAAATGGCTATATAGCCTAAAAAAATACACCATATAAAGTTAATAGCCTTTGTTTTCTAATATAAAACATATAACTCTTCCGTATGTGATTTAAAACCGACCCAAACATGAAATACCATTTCAGTCTTTTAATTATAATTTAAGTTGTTTTGATATGCTTGGATATACACTCTTCATCCACAACTTGGTAGCTCACTATTTATGGGGTCGGAGATCCCCGATTGCAAAATCTGAGTTCAGAAATATAAAAATTAGGGTGAGACGTTTGTGGTTTCCGACATCAGGGAGTAAGATAAACACTTACAGGATTTAATTAATGTGTTATGCATCAATTTAATCAAAAAATGTGTGTTTCGTAAAGGGAAGGAAAATACAGAGTGGGTGAAATCCAAATGATTGATGAATTCATTATTGATACTGTGATATTTCGTCTTTTAGTAATTAATCGATGATACATCTGTAAATAAGTTAATCGGTTTATTAGTTATTACTAATTACTAATTGGGTTGGTTGTTTGGGAAAGGTCTAACCACTAAAGGGTTTGCTTATAAAACAAAATAGTGAAGAGATCACGTTGGATATGCAATCACACCAACATACCAATTGTACAGAAGAAGTGTTATGATGGTACACGGAAATGCTAATTTCGCGGGATAGTGCGGACGGGAAGAAACCACCAATACTGAAAAAGGTTATATTTATCATAATTTATCGATGGCATTTGATAAAAGCTATACGTTTTATTTTTGTAAATGTATAACATTAATTAAAAGGTGTATATTTAAAGGTGTATATACACCTAAATTTCTCTAATAATAATAATAATAGCTTTGTTTTTTATATTTTTATATTTTTCGTAATTTTGATACTTTTAACGGTTGAAGGGATGAATTGAACAATTCGGTTGGTTCAAGAGCTTATTTGTCTCATGAGTTGCAACATCAGATGCACAATTAACACATGACCTGATAATGTGACGCTGACTGGGTGATTACCTATAAATTGTCAAATTCGAAACTTTTATCTAACTTTTTTTTATCATCAAAACTGACAGTGTCAATTTTTTTTTCTTTACTTAGGATTTATACAGTAGGCGAATTGAGAATTACGCAACTGTACAAGGGCCTCTTGCCAGAAGATTATCTTTGGTACCAAAACGCTAGAAAGCACCGGATAAATGTCCACGTGGCACCACAGTTTTCGGACATTCTCATCGGGAGCCACTCTACAGTCGTAGTACGTCCATCAGGGTCTTCCATTCCCATCTTCAACGCAAACAAACCACTCATTCTCTTAATAATCCATGGCTTCAACAAACTACACATCTCTGTGTTCTTCTTCACTTGTACGAAGAATCATTTCCCCGAAGCAAAACCAGTTGCTTTGTTCTTCGTTCAATCTAAACCAATTTACGAATCACCCATTTATGAGTAGCAGTTTCTGCAATTCCCACCCGTTAAATACTCCATCTTTGGTGCTCAAGGCTTCCCAAACAGAAATTGAAGGCAGTGGAGAGGAGAAATATGAAAAGTATGAGGTCGAAATAGTGAAGCCATATGGGCTGAAATTTGTCAAGGGGAGAGATGGCGGAACATACATTGATGCAGTTGAACCGGGAGGATCAGCTGATAAGACTGGAATGTTCACTGTTGGTGATAAAGTTATTGCCACCAGGTGTTTGTTAAAATTCCACTTGTTCTTATGTGTTTCTTTCCCTGGTATTACTACGTCTTATACATTGATTAGTGGGGAGCGAACGAAATGGGACTGGTAGGATCAAACCAGTTTTTATTCGGGGGAACTTTATTCCTTTTATTGAATAGAGTTCTGTTAGTTTCTAAAATCTTATAATAGTCAATGGAAGTAAGGGTATTTTAAGGATAAAAAAAATGTTGGTGTAATCAGAAATGGAAGTAAGGGTATTTTAAGGATAAAAAAAATGTTGGTGTAATCAGGTTGTTTCATCCGTTGGTACCATGTGTTTCACGATCTGTACATTGTTAACCTAACTTAATTTTCCGTTAATAGTTCCGTCTCATCCCTACCATCCGTTCCATCTGCATCGGTTTAGCTATCAGCTTCAATAGCCCTACCGTTTCCTTCAATTCGTCCCTAAGCAGTAAGCGGTTCCCAACTCGGCTATCATGTAAATGGTTCTGTCCGCTCCCATCCCATCGCTATCCTAGGTACGTTTTCATTCGTTTCTCCATTTCTGATCTGTTTCTTGCTAGACGCTGCTGATCAGTTATGGATGGTGAAGTACTCAAGTGGCTCATACTCCAGGCCTTGTGGCTTCAGCAATGATACTATAAGTGTGTGTTTTTGCAATTTCGGAAAAACTTCCGCGCTTCTTCCAGACCTTTACAATGTAAGGATCCCCTTCCTTTGCTCCCTTTGCCCCATCAGTTCTGCTTTTCAGTTTGTTTTTGGTGTTTTGATGACCTGTTTATTATTCTTTGCTCAGAGAAATATTAGTACAAAATGATGTTGAGAATCCCTGCAATGAACATAGGCAATTAGTAGTAGGACGAGCTTAGCAATGAAATCTTAAAAATTTAGAGAATGAATATGAAATCTAGGGCATTTGAAGAGGGATACATGGCTTACATGTTTGGATGTACAGAAGAAAGTCAAGAACTAATCAAAATGTAAAGATATATTTTTCTTCTTTAATTTCTCTTACCCATTGGGCCTTTACCTACTTTTATTCGAACACCTTTCCATTTTATTGTGTCTAAATCGTAGTCACTTTGTTCATTTCCACCCTCCAAACATTATATTGTTTGTGATTAACCCTTTTTGTATCTTGGTTAGTTTGGTAAATAAGTTCACACAGATTGTCTCTAAAGAAAATAAATCGTGTTTCTTATTATAAGCCTGAGATATTGCATTCTGCTTAGCAAGCATGTTTTAATCGGAAGCCTATAAAGTATTGCTGAGCATACTTGAGCTCTTGCTACCTCCTCAATCTCCTGTTGATTTTTGGCAGCTCTTATCTTACTTCCTAGCAATAGAGATCAGCCCTTTGTACAACCACATAAGTAGAGGTTAAACTGTTTAAGCAAAAAACAAATAAAATATGAGCATACTGAGTGTGAGCCTAATCATGCCTGCATATTAAGAGTTAAGAGCACACAAAATGTCAGTATAACCAAACAAAACCACTTTTCAGCTCAGGACAATTTTACCTCATTTGGTAAGGCTTATAATGACGGGAGTGGCTAAATCTACAAAAATTGCTAAGTAATGGTTGAAATCATTGAAATTTCTGAAATATACTTCATGCTACGTATCAAATAAAATAAAATACATTTTCTGAATGAAGTAAATAAAAAAAAGTACTCCGTATAAGGGGGAAACTACAACACTCCACCTTCCGCAACATCAATCATTTCACCTAAGTACCGCACGCCTTACCTTTTTGTTATTACTCAATTCAGGGCACACACTATGCTCAACGGCACACAATCAAGAGATCATTGTTTGGTAAACTAACATGTAATATGGCTGATAAATTGAAAATTGAAATTAATGCATCAAGTAATAAGATGACGGTATGAAGATAGAAAGAGTAATTGAGGGATCCATGAACGTCTTCAAAAATAATTATGCATATAAGAGCTTTTCGAATGACAGTTCTTATGAGGTCTTTGAAAACAAAAATATGGTTCTTATTGGGTTTTCCCATTGAAGTTAGTGAAGCGTGTGCCACAGCCCACATGTAAGATTATTCCTTATTTATGCCCAGAGTCATAGGCTAGAAAAATGAGAAGATGTAATAGGCTCGAGGGTTTTTCCATGTTCTTTATATGTTTTCTGCCCTAAGGCACAGTAGCACATATAGCCCCTTGAATTGATTATCTTTCAAGTTCTCATCTCTTAGTTGTTAGCCACAAAATAAACACAAAAGAAAGAAATCTCCAGTGGTCATGTTAGATATAATAATGTGACAAATCAAAATGGACGTGCACCAGTTTACTGGAAATGATTGTTTGGGCTTTTCATGAAGTCTAAACACCCGCAAATATTTGAAACCCATCATACAACACATTAGGTCAGAGGCCATACCATGAATGATGAATCGTTTTTTTTAGAAAAAGTTGAGTATCTATGAAGAATTCAAATATAGAAAGAATAATTTGTGACTAAATTATATCAATAGAAACGATATGAATGTGTTACATATGACCCCCCCTACTTATAGGATCTTCACAAACTATTTCACATAATATATTGCAATAAAGCAGCCGGTACTTTCTTTACAGAGTTCACACCAAACAAGTTTGACATTTTACTGCATTTTCACCCAGTTTAAGCTAAAAGGGAATATTTTTAAAACAAAATATCCACAATATCATCTAGACCTGCATATTTAAACCTAATTAGACAAACTCTTGACCTACCTGAGCTCTTGCTACTGCTGCAGCAGAACTTGCTGCCTCCTCAATCTCCTGCTGATTTTTGCCAGCTCTTATCTTACTTCATAGCTTGTAAAGGTACTCTTCGGTCTGAGGTAGAAAGGTTGAGAGAACATCATATCTCTCCCCTGCATACTTAGTTTGGCGTGACACAGGTGATAAGCTTATCATATCTCTGTATGCTGCTCAAGTAATTGCCCTGAAAGATAAAACTGGAAGAAAGTATGATAACTTGAATGGCGTTCTCATGAAACTCTCCCCACATATGGTGTTTTTTTTTAAATAAGAACATATTTGTCTTTGAACCTCTTTTGTAAAGATTAATGGTTGGTGCTGACTCATCTAAACAAAGGAATTTCAATGAGGACTTTCAGATTCTCAGGTGGTCAAATTTGCCTTAAGTGTAAGGGGAACATCTATATGGAAAAGGAATGTATTAGCTATCTTAAAAAATTTCATAACCGAGTCTTATACACCTCCCACCTGTCCAGATGCATTGCCTTGTCTGAATTTTGGGATCATTTTTCCTTCACTCACCCATTTAAACTTAGCTAATAGCTTGGTTGGGTTGATTTTTATCTCGGATGTAAATTAGATGAGGAAGTTGCAAGTGCAGGCTAAACTCTATATTCTTTGACTTGGTCTTGCTTGTCCCTTCTTTATTATTTCTTTTTGGATGAGTTCGGCTTTATACATATAAGCTTCCACCTTAGTTTAAAAAAGCGCGCTTGAGGCGCGCAAAGGCGCGAGGCGCACAGGGGCGACATGTTTGTCGCATTTAACTCACCCAGGCGGCTCAGGTTCCTAGAGGCGTGCGCTTTTCACGCTTTTTAGCGCCTTTTGCGCTACTCAGAGGCGAGCGCTTTTCACGCCTCAGGGAAGCCGATGAAATTCTCTGCCGATTCCAATTCCATTTTTTTTGGCGATTCAGATCTCCTTCCAGAAATTTCACAGGTGGTCTTATAAATTGGTAAGGTAAGGTAAATAAATTAGGTTTGTTTAGTCCTTTCCGTTTCCGCTGTATCTCCCGTTTGAAGCTTACGACTTTTTTCGCTGCTAGTGTCTCGCGTCTCAGAGGTAGTAAACGAGTCTATTTACTTTTTTTTTCTGCTGCTATTTATTCTCTTTTATTTTAAGTTGTTATATTTATAAAAATATTAAATTATTTAAATAAAAAATTAGATAACTGATACATACGTAGTATTATCTTTCGCTATTTATTAGTGTTGATAGATAACTGAAAAAAAGTTCAAGACTTTTAAGTTTGTAAGTTTTTTAAGTATTTTAAGTTTTTAAATTTATAAAATTATTTAAATTATTTAAATTTACAAATCTGTCCGTTATTAATTTTACAGATTTGAATTTGTGTGATAGTTTATTGATTAAATGTGTATTATTTTATAGTTTATTAGTTTATTACATATTACTATATCATAATACTATGTAATAATATTATAGTGTTAGATCACTGGTTTATTAACAATTTTTTAACAATTGCATATTGTTTTACACTGGTATATTCAAGCATGTTATACACTGGCAGGGAATCAGAGTATCAGACTTATTAACAATATACAATTTGGAATCAGACTATATTGTAGTTTTAACAAATTTTTATATAACAGTTTAATAGTTTATTACATTAATTGTTTGAATTACTATTAACAGATATAACAATTTATCACAAAATGACTATTAATTGTTTTATATATGAGGCTTATAATCAAATTGTATAATTCTTACAATTTTACTTTAATATCAAGTTTGTTAGTTCTTACTGTATTACTTCAACAATCCACAATGCATAGTTTTTGTGATTATTTCATTCAATATTAGGGTTTTGTGACTTGACTTTTGGCAATTATGCCTTTAAACATATGTTTCTTGCTTCTGTCGTATTGTCTTTAATATATATTTTGTTTCTCTGATGATGTTTATTAAGATTGTTTAATAGTTTGATTTTTGAGAAGAGTGCTTCATGTAGAAGTACTAAAAATATATTTCACCAAAAAAAATGTGCCTGAGATCCGTGAGGCGCGCGCCTCACCGCCTAGCGCCTCACGCCTCGGGTAAATTGATGAAAGCGCCTCAAGCCGCCTCGTGCCTTTTAAAACCAAGGCTGCCACTATGGAGAAATTCAAGCTAATTTGGGTGCTCTCAGTAGCCTTATCCCTTTTATGTGGTGTGTCTAATAGAGGATTTCCATTGACCTATTTCATTTTCTCGCTGGTATATATATTACTCTACGCCTTCTTATTGTTCAGTTTTAGTTATTGTGGTTCTTTTTTATTGGGTCCCCCTTCCCTTTTCCTTTCTTTTATCACGTGGGGTTTGCCCCGTGGACGGTTAGCTTAAGCTGAAACAAGAAGATACATTTGTTCTTCATCCGAGTTTAGATCAGAATTTGATCTACTGCTGCAACCTAGAGAGCCACAACACCTAAGTAAAGCACGTTGACATGAAACAAAGCTATATAGATATTATAGACTCAAAACAACGCCATGAAACAGGAGTCAAACTGAAATACTTCTTTCAATAATTTTATATTTAAAATTTAAATATTCTTAAATTTTTTGTCTTTGCTTTCAAAAATAAGTACTCCCTCTGTCCCTAAATGTTCTTCCAATCGCGGGTTACGAAGTTTGACCAACGATAAAGTTAAATGATCCCTGTGAAAACTCAGATTATTTTTAGTAAATAAAATTTACATATTCAGAAACTACATTAAAACCGCTACAAAGCCTGCAAAAAAAATCAATTTTCATAAAGTTTTGATATATAAACTAAGAGTTTAAGAGTGATTTAAGTTGACTCTCGAAAAGCGAAATGGAAGTTCTTTTAGGGACGAAGGGAGTAATTGTTTTTTTTCTGTTTGTAAGACTTTATTGTATCACTTTTATCAGTAATTGTTTAGAACTTAGATCAACCATATTTATTAAGAAGAGAACACATTATAACATACTACATGTCATTGGTTCCTGGTAAGCAACGTAGATGCATCTAGGACCTGTTTATTAAGACTATTTGACTGATATGTATAGTGTTATACAAGTGCCCGAGTGGGTGAACTACGGGCAGGGAAGAAGAGCAAAGTGGTGTGTATTAAAAGTATAAACTTTTACTTAGGGACCTACTAAAATTGTCATTAGCTCTGATGAGAGAAAAGAAATTCTCAAGGTGATTGGGGATGAATTGAGAAAATAAATGGCAGCAAGCATAGGATTTTTGAATCTTCAAGGAAAGGGAAACCACTCTGAGGAAATTCATTTGAAGCTTCGTTGTTTGTAAATTTGATGTCTTGTCTCCATTTACTCTGAATTTCTACTTTCTTATAGTGATAATTTGGTTGAAGCTATGCTAACTGCCACAGGTAAATTTTTATCTGTTTTTAATCATCACATGATAAAAAAAAAATAGTGGGTCTCACTATTTTTTAAAACCACCCGACCGGGGCAAGAACTGGGCCGTGTCCATTTACCGTACATGATTGGCTAATTTTGTCTTTGGTGTTATTTTGATAAAGGAATATATTTTGAAGTTTATGTATCTTTATATTTACACGGATGTTTGCATATTGAATTGTGATATTGAAGACTAATGGCATTGCAAGTTGATCACTTGTGAGTCTTGTGACCCTTATTTGATTTTTATTATGAAAATTTACATGCATGATACCCATGTGCTCTTAAATCATAAGCATAATCATTTTTTTTAATCATAAGCATAATCAGTTAAAAAATATCATTGAGGCATATTCTCAATATTTATATTATATGCTTAATTATATACTGTAAAAAAACAAAAAAAAACAAAACATACTATCTATGATATATACTCCGTATATGTTTCCACTATAGCAAGGGGCGATTCAAGTTTTTTTCTATGGTCTATGCCACTATGGATGCTATAACATCTCACGCATTGACGCATATAGTGTTTGGAATTATCTACGCTTCCGTTGTAAATTTTATTTAGTACTATGCTATACGGAGTATATGTTTCCCTTCTATATAACCTAAACAAAATATTCTAATTAGGGGTGGACCCAGGCGGTTCCGGTTCGGGCTTTTTTTTTTTTCTTTTGCTTTTGTAATCAACCCCCGACCCCCCTACCCCTCACCCCCCCCCCCCCAAAACACCCAACCCAACCCGGTAGAATAAAAAAAATGAAAAAAAAAATAGGCCCGAACCGGGCCCGGACCGGTTCGCGTTTTAGGGGGCCCGAGCCCGCACCGGGAACTGAGCGGTTCCGTTGGCCCGAACCGGCTCCAAGACCGGGTACCGGGTTGGGCCGGGCCCAAACAGTACCGGATTGGGCCGCCCGGCCCAAGTCCTCTTCTAATTCTAATACTATCTACAAGAATCACATTGGGCATATTCTCCCCGCGCAATGACACTTTGGACCAAGAGAAGGAGAAAAGAATTGGTTTATCCTACCTATGGTTGGAGCTTTTTTTATATTTTGATCTTCTTTCTGCTAGGAAGAAGTTACCCCCACGCATAATAAAACATCATACACTCTCTCCATAATTGTAAGGGCCCTTACATATGCTGATAATGAAATTTCAGACCTCCAATTTACCATAAATGCTTGTGAGATAAAGCAATACTCGGCCCCAAAAAAAATCAAGTGTAGTAAGTTCTTGTTCTAAGCTTCTATGTTCCTAATGCTTTTTGGAAGTGCAAATAAATTATTCAAATGGAGTTTCCCTAAAAATATGATACTGAATCAGTAAATCTTAGTATTATTATTTATTAGTCTGTAAACCAATAGTCTGCTTTTGTTGAAATCTAAATATAACCTCACATCAGCCTTGATCTAACCATGATGATCAGTTATACTCTATGCCGTTGAAAATATATGTCGTTCATTGTGCAAAATTAAATCATTTGTAATATAAATAAATAATCAGAAAAAGAAGATGAGATTTCTACACAATAACATTCTCAATGAAGAGATAAGAGGATCAATAAGTGAAAGAAATCAGAACTGGCCCTAATCCCTAAACCTAAATACAACCAATTAAAACCATTGCTTTCCCAACATAATCAAAGCACGCAAGATTGTTGGTGATGCAGAATAGTTATTCTCAAAATCGATGTCGTTCATAGGCATAAGTAAATCAATTGAATAAATTAAAAAAGTTTGTGCTCTTACATGGAGAACAACGATGTGGAGAAGAAGGGAAGAAAGATAGATGGTGGGAGAACCCATTTTTCCCATCAACCCAACCGCCAACTGTCTAGGTTTCTTTTCAGGCCGTTTCTACGAATTGTGCTCAGCTATGCTCATCTCTATAAAAGTATATGTCATGCACATAGCATTGGGCATTTATCCAATCGCGCAACGCGCGTATAAAAACTAGTAGTAGTTATATGGGACGTTTTGTTTTTAGGAGCTGCATCTGTCTAGGGGTGGAATCGAGACAGCCTAATGCCCTAATAAATTCATGCTAGGCTCGAGTTTGGCTCATTGACGTTTATATGTTGGGCTCAAATGAGATCCATGCTTGAATGCTCAATTCAAGTCCGAATTCAAACTAAAAATAAATTTTCTATTTTTGGAACTATTAAATATTATATTCATACATATAAATAAATAAATAATATATAATATTTGTACGTCATCATTCTCATTTGTTTTTGTTTCTCTCTGATTCACGAGAATTCTACTTCCTATGTTATTACCAATTAAAATTTAAAATATACAAATATATACAGATATAAATATATATAATATGTGTGTGTGTGTTTATTTATTTATTTATTTATTTATTTATTTATTTATTTATTTATTTATTTATTTATTTATTTATTTATTTATTTATTTATTTATTTATTTATTTATTTATTTATTTATTTATTTATTTATTTATTTATTTATTTATTTATTTATTTATTTATTTATTTATTTATTTATTTATTTATTTATTTATTTATTTATTTATTTATTTATTTATTTATTTATTTATATAAATATGCTATGGCTCGCGATCCCACGAGATAAAAGAAATTGAGCTCGAGTTTGGCTCGATTGCTTAACGAGCCGGTTCGTGTTCAGCTCGAGTTCAAGTTTGACCGAATTCGAGTCAAGCTTTGACCGAGCGGCTCACAAGTAGCTCAAGAGCGGCTTGACTCGTTTGCTCCCCTACATCTGTCCATGGGTTCATATACATTGATGTTTGGTAAAAGGAAGCTTCGCTACGTGCAGTAAAATAGTTTTAGATTTCTTGAAGAGTTATAGTTGCTAGTTCATGCTTTGTCCCTTGCCTGACAAATTTTATGGCTGCACATTGATCTTGGTTGTGGTTTTGATAGTCAGTTAGGATAACTTGTAAATACCACAACAGTTGTCTTGCATGAATCGTCATCTTATTGAATTGGAAAAGAGTGTGATTAGAACAGTGGAAAACATGTCCAGTGCAGTGTTTGGAGATGACATATGGCCTTCTGCTGAATATGGAAGAACAATGTATACAATTCGGCAGAGATTAGGCCCTTTGTTCATGAAAATGGAGAAGAGATATGGTGAGTTAATTCTTCTGAATGGTTTGTTGATTTAATTAGTTAATTGATTATTACATTTAGTTGGTTGGAAAGAATGTGATGGTAGAAAACTATATATGAATACACGATTCAACTAAATGTATAGCTATTATATTCTATGACTAACAAATAGAGTTGAATTAGTAAAACAAAAATCAGTCCTCCCTTCCCATCCTTTCCAAATTCCGTAACCAAACAAGTCCTATTAGGTTCCTTCTGTCTCTTACGCTTTTTCAGGGAAGATGGATAGTATGGGTGAGTTGTCAGAAAAGGAAATTATTAGACAGGAAAGGAATGCCGGTTTCATCAGTGATAGGGTGAGAGAGATTCAGGCAAGTACTTTACTTCAAGTGCACAACCTAAATAAAATCATCCAGAAATTTTGTTGTTTTTCTTTTCACTGGTTTCTCTGTATTGATTTTGAGTGGTATGTTTGATATCAGTTTACAAATGCAATGAGGAAAAAGGAACAGAAAGAGCGCAGAGGAATGGATCTTCGTGAAGGACTTCATCTATACAAGTAAGTGCTGTTGTGATTGCCAATTTCCTATCCATTTTATACTATCTGTTATGTTACTTGAGTGCCACCTTGGGACAGGTAACCTTTGAAAATAAAGGTGCAAAGTGTAATTTTATTTCATTTCAGTCAAGATAGTACTCCATAACTGTTTGACGGACTGATCTTGAAGAAAGACAGCCCTCATATTCTGCTCGCCACTTTAGACGGGACAGACCAACCTGTTCTTTGGTGTTTAATAAGTCTCTCCCATCAAAATTTATTAGGGAAAATGGAAACTAATAATCCAACCTTTTAGCAGTCTTCTTACAATAGTCCTACCTTTTCGTTATTCAGGAATAATCCAATTTTTGCGTCCCATCTTGATTCGGTGGTCCCTGCCCGGTTGATGACCTGCTATTCCAAGTTATGCAAAACATTATGTGACCATAAGGTGAGATTTATGGTACAATATTTTACAAAGATAAGAAAATAACTTAAAATAGCAGGTCATCAACCGGGCAGGGACCACCGAATGAAGATGGGGCGCAAAGGTTGGATTATTCTTAAATAACGAAAAGGTAGGAGTAGGACTATTGTAAGAAGACTGCTAAAAGGTTGGATTATTAGTTTCCATTTTCCCAATTTATTAACATACGTTTATATACTAGGACTCAAAAACGGTACCCTCAAAGTAACATGTTTCATCATATTTTCAAGGGACAACTATCAATTAGGTCCTCATACTATCACCAATCCTTCAATTAAACCCTCCCACTTGTAAATCATCCAATTAAGTCTACGTAGTTCTAAAAGCACTCAAATCGTCGTTTTAGGTGGCCACCCACCGGTAAACAAGTTAGTTGTTGATGTGGAAGCATACGTGGATTTTTGTAACCCCTGTGGACTGTCCATGTGGCATTTGAAATATTTTTAAATTTTTTAGTTGATCTTTTGAGTCTTTACCCTTTTTGTTTTATTTATTTATTTCCCTTTTTTTTGTCTGGTACGATATCCTCCTTCCTCATCTTCTTGGCCGGCAACTTCACATTCTCTGTAATCAACCTCCGGCCACCATTTCACCACCAACGCTCTTGTAAGGTAGTCCCCCTTCCCCCTTCCCCCCTATCTCTCTGTTTTCTTTGTTCTTCATGGCCTCTGCCCCCTTTTGTGCATAGCAACCAACTTCCACCGTCATTGTCGCTCTAAGCCTGTCCGCCGCCACTTGTTTGTTTCGTCCCTTGGGTACTTCATCTGCTTCGCTGCATGGATATCTTCGGTGATATGCTCATCTGGTTCTCCTGGTTCAAGTCTGACCTCCTCCTTATAGATTGTACTGTGAAGTTGTGTCCCGTGATCCCATCTTCTTCTTCTACTATCGAATTGGAGGGATGGTGGTGAAGAAATCTCCTTCCCCTCGTTTTCCTTGTAATCCAGCTGAAAAAGGCGGTGTCACTGAAGAAAGTTGGTTCCGGCCATGATGCAGGTGAAGGTCAGGGTTCTGCCATTTGGCCCATTTCTAAAGAAAAGCTCTAGGTAATTTTTGTTTTGGAGAAGAAAGCATAGCTCTAGATAATTATTATGCATTTAGATTTCTGATTTTCAAAATAGTACTCCGTATATGTTTATGCTCAAAAAGAAAAAAAACGTGTTTCTTCTATGGTGGCCTGATAGTACAATTTGGGTGATTTTGGGTGATTTTGGGTGGACTGATAATTTCAAAAAAAGAAAACATTAAAGCCACATAAGTGTACAAGTCAGCAGCTACCGGGAAAACTGGCAAGGAACCAGCAAAAAAGAAAATTTGGGTGATTTTGTATAGTTCAGGGAGTTAATTGGGTGTTTTGGTAGTACGAGGACTCAATTGACTTTTTCGCTATACTACAAGGGGGCTATTTGAGAGTTTTCCTATTTTCAACAGTAGCATGGTGAAGTTTTGTGTATAGATATACAAACTTACATTTCTATTTTACATTTGTAGCTAAGAATGCATAGAATATCTAATATTGCTTTAGGACATCTGGAAAGATTTCCAACTGTTTAGCGGTACTTTCACTAAAAATGCATACAAGTTTGTATTCTGTGATGTTTCGTTTTCTGAGATGTTGGACATCTGATGATCCTACTTTCTTTTCTGTCTCTTGTTTTGATGAAGGAGTGGCAAATATGAAGAAGCACTAGAGGCATTTGAGTCTGTATTAGGATCAAGACCAGATCCAAATGAAGCTGCAGTAGCAAGTTATAATGTCGCATGTTGTTATTCTAAGCTTAATCAGGTACTTTTCATAAACTAAATTAATATCTAGTTTAGTGTTATTTACGTGTAATGATATGCTCTGTAATTCATAAATACTTTCCATCCAAAAGAGTCATCTTTAAAAAATGTCCCAAAAAAAAGAGCGGTTTCAAAAGTCAGCTTTCATTTTTAAATAAAAGTTACATCAAGTGGCAGCTGGGTTTAGAGCCGTAACATTGAAATTTGGGCTGATTGTGCTAAAAATGGTTAAGTTCTGGCTGAATTCTCCGTATCTGGAAAAATATGAATAATATTTTCTTTTATTAAAATAATGAAAAAGTAACGAAAATGGTCCTCTATAGTAACTTCAGTCAATTCAGTTAGAAAAGTAACTACAACCTTACTTTTTTTTATTATTATACTTTTCAAAGCTCGAATTCAGAAGTTACGTGTTTGGCGAAAAATTTGCTGATAAGACTGAGAAGCAGAAAACATGGGTCATCAAACGGACTCTTAGTCAATTTCCCCACACAAGCTTGTACTGTGATTGGGTTCACAAAAAAGTTATACATTGCCGAACATGACTCGTATTTTTTGGGATGGGGGATTTATATTTTAAAGGGCTATGATATTTGTACGCCCTTAATAACCACCTTCACTCATATATAACTCCCGCTGTGATTCTTATTCTCACATACACAAATTTGTGTGAGTACGGGTAAACTTTTCTTATAACTCCCGCTGTGATTCTTATATCTTGTCAGTATGAATGGTAGTGTAAAAGGGGTACACAGCTTTTTTTTTTTATATTTTAGTCCAGCTATTCTACTACTCCCCTCGTCCCAGCTGGTTCTCACCTAGGCTGGAAACAGGCTAGGCCGCTAGGCCAAGCTTTTGCGAGGTCGGGCCTGTCTGGCTTGAAGCCTGTTTCATAGGCTTGTTAAGGAAAAAAGTCCACAATTTTAAAAATAAAAAAGTTGCAAATTCTTTTAACTCGATATAAAATTTATTCCCCAAATTAGTCACTAAAAAACCTATTACGGAGTAATACATTATTTTTTTAATGTCTAAAATGGACACATCTTGGTGGAATGATGAGGTAAAACAAGTAATAAGGATCAAAAGGGAATGCTATAAGAAATTGGGTAAAAGTTGGAGCGACGAGAACATAGAGGAGTACAAGGAGGCTAGAAGAAGAGCAAAGAAAGCCGTAAAGGAAGCAAGAGGAAAAGTGAAGAAAGAATTGTATGCAAAATTGGACTCTAAGTAAGGAGAAAAGGATATTTACAGACTTGCTCGTCTTCGTGACCGTAGGACTCAAGATATCGGAAAAGTTAAGTGTGTAAAGGATGTCGATCAAAGGGTACTAATGGAGGACGGGGAGATAAAAGAGAGGTGGAGGTTATACTTTGATTCACTATTCAACGGGAACAAATCGCAAGATATCGATGAATTGACCATACCAGATTTTTGGTAAATCGTGATTTAGTGAGAAGGATCCAAACAACGGAAGTTAAAGAGGCTCTGAAGAAGATGGGGCGAAAGAAAGCAGTGGGTCCAGATGGCATACCGATCAAGGCTTAGAGAAGTTTGGGAGAGAGAGATGTCGAGTGGTTAACAAGTTTCTTTAACATGATTTGGAGAAACAACAAGATGCCAACGAATTGGAGAAACAATATCCCCTTATTCAAGAATAAAGGTGATGTACAAGAAAGTGTCAACTATCGAGGGATTAAACTTATGAGTCACACCATGAAACTTTGGGAGCGAGTGATTGAGCAAAGACTTCGAAGAACTGTGAAGATTTCAGAGAATCAATTCGGTTTTATGCCTGGTCGCTCAACAACTGAGGTCATTCACCTTCTTCGGCAACAAGGATCTGCATTTGATGTTCATTGATTTAGAAAAGGCTTATGATAGGGTACCTCGAGAAGTTCTTTGGTGGGCCTTAACTAGAAAAGGTATATCACGTAAGTATATCAGCGTCATCGATATGTATGAGGATTGTACTACAAGTGTCCGTACTAGTGTAGGGAGGACTGCGAAGTTCCCTATTATTATCAGAGTGCACCAAGAATCGGCTCTGAGCCCTTTCTTATATTCCATAGTCATAGATGAACTTACGAAGTCAATTCAAGACGGAATACCGTGGTGCATGATGTTTACCGACGATATTGTATTAATTTATGAGACGCAATCATGTCTTAAAGCAAAGTTGGAAGTATGGCGAGAAACATTGGAGAACAAGGGTTTCAGACTAAGTCGGAGCAAGACAGAGTACATGGAGTGCAAGTTTGGTAGAGGTAGAAGCAGTGGTAATAGCGGAATTACTCTAGATGGTAAGAAAATACCGATCAGTGATATGTTTCGTTACTTGGGCATCAGTACAAGGTGGATGAAGTGGAAGAGTGCATCATGGTTTTATGCGATAGAGGTATACTGACTAGACTGAAGGGTAAGTTTTATAGGACAACAATTAGGCATGGATTAGTGTATGGCGTAGAGTGTTGGACGGTGAAAAAGATGAGTGTGGCGGAGATGCGCATGTTGCGTTGGATGTGTGACATACTAAGAAAGACTGCGTGAGAAATGAGACAATAAGACAAATAGTGGGAGTAGCACCTATTGAAGACAAGATGCGGGAGTCGCGCCTGCGGTGGTTTGGTCATGTGCGTAGAAGACCGAGTGATGCACCTGTCAGAAATGTGTGGAGAATAGGCTGTGAAGAGAGGGAGAAGAAGGCCTAAACAGACGTGGGTTAGGGGAGTTTAAAGTGATATGCTTCTTCTTGGGTTATATGAGGGTATGGCTTTGGAGAGAGCAAAGTGGAGGGCGGGTATTCTTGTGGAGGAGTGATCTCGTATTATCTTTTCCCCTCATTCTTTTTTCTTGTTTTCTTATCCTTTTATCCTTATATAGTTATATACATATACATTATTTTTATCTTTTTTATTTTATCATTTTTAGGTATATTCATTTCTTTTTATATCATCTTTTTCATAATAGCTTATCTTTTATCTTTATTTTTTTTCTTTTCCTTTTGGTGGTGATATCATGTATCGATTCATGTTAACCGACCCCAATATTTTTTGGGACTAAGGCTTGGATGTTGCTGTAAGCCTAGGTTTAATACGTTGAAATGTAATCTGGCAAAGTGACCTGAAAGTTAGCATCAAAGACCACTGGTGGATAAAATGTCAAGTACTTGGTATGAGCATACTCGAATGCGAGAATGAGATACTAGTAATACTCTGTATACTGAATATATAATTTTTCCTTTTTAAAATTCTTGCTTACAGTCTCGTTTTGTAGAATAAAGTTTCTTTCCTTTGGAACTATCTAATACATTGTGTTACTAAACAGTCACCCACTAAATGGAAAAACACCGTCTACAAACCACAACTCTTTCAAACCAAAGAGCATGTTTTGGAAATGCATCAATTTAGGCATTGTTTTTTCCGAATTGCTAACCCAAAGAACCGATCTACCACAGCAATATTAGCCCGGCACATTTTTGTATAAAGGGAAAACTGTCAAATAGGTCCTCGAACTTTCATAAAAAAGTCAATTAAGTCCTTCTATAGGAGACTCTGTCCGGTCTTCGCGATTTGGGGCGGTTCCCGGTGGAATTTTTTGATGAAATTTTTTGAGCATCTTATTCATCAAGTCTAGTTTACTCATACCAAATTTCAGCTAAAAATTTATTCGGGAGCGCATTCAAATTAATTCGAGAACGCAAAAATGCGCAGTTATCTTCAAGAATTAATTTGAATGTGTTCCCGATTGAATTTTTAGCTGAAATTTGGTATGAATAAACTAGACTTGATGAATAAGATGCTAAAAAAATTTCATCAAAAAATTCCACCGGGAACTGCCCCAAATCGCGACGGCCGGACAGAACCTCCTATAGAAGGACTTAATTGACTTTTTTATGAAAGTTCGAGGACCTATTTGACAGTTTTCCCTTGTATAAAATATGAAGTTTGACATCATTTGTCTGGCCTTACAATAGATTGAAGCTGGATTGTCTGCCTTGGAGGATGCAATGAATGCGGGATTTGAAGATTTCAAGGTAAACTCTAGCGGTTATCAAAATCCACTGTCAACTAGAATGTGAGTAGTAGTCTATTGGAAAAGGCTGAAATTGTGGCTGATATTGAAGTTGCTGAATTATGAAAAGTACTTCGTATATATTTAAAATATATGCTATTGATAAAATAAAGGAAAAAGATGAAAAAGGCAAAAATGAGCATCGTGAGCACTGAGCAACTTCGATGTTAGCATTATTAACCTATTATGTGGGTAAAAACCTAGCTGTCAACTGGTAAAAATGATAAGCCGGAAAAAATGGCTACCAAGTGGCCACTAAATCTGATTCTAAATCATTTATTATGCCCACAGAGAGTTAGAACAGATCCTGATCTTGCCAATCTCAGGACATCACATAACTTTGAATCCCTTCTTAAGAAATTTGACGAATCATTCATCAATGAAAGCGCAATCCATGCGCTTAAATCCCTGTTTGGGTTCAACAAAAAGTAGAGCCAGCTGTTTGGATAGGGCTCCTGCTTAGAGATATAGCTGAGCATGTATATGAATCCTGCAAGAAAATTGTTGTTATTTTGTAACTCTATGCTGCAACTGTACTTGATTAAATTTCATGTACTTGTATTAGATGAAGGTCTGAAAGAAATTATGGAGTTATAAATTATCAACAGGGATGTCTCATTGTTCTTTACTTGTAGGCTGTAGCATGTCACCCTAGCGAAGCATGTAGTTTTTTAACGCTTCACTATTGATTATTCTATCCGTCCTTAAATCGTTATTGACTTATTGCTGCTTATTCCAAAAAAAACCGTCATTGCTGTTTGAGTTTTTTTTTTCTGTTTGCTTTTAGAACATAAATTATTGCACTTTCAAGAAAACATATATTGTGCTACAATTTCTTTTAGTTTTGTTCCTCTATACTCAACTAAATTGTACGGAGTACTATGTTCATATGTTGTACTCATATAATCAATCATAAATAAATGAAAAATGACAAAAATAAGACTTTGAGCTTATGATTAGACAAAAATAGGATCAATTTTCGTTTAAGACAAAAAGCAATTATAGTGATATCAAATGACTCAAATGCCCCTAAAAGAAAGTACCCAATTTTTCTCTGTGCTCAGCAAATGAAAGTACCGCACTTGATCTGCGCTTACCTTTCGATGGTGCTCTTTGAAGAAGCGTGTCGTCCACCTCTAGCAATGACGGTGAATGCAATGCTCTTCTTTGATGATGTCAGTGATAAAGCTCTTCAAATATGCCAATGGAGATCGGTGGCATCTGTGAAACTCTCCGGCAATGTGCATCATCTTCATGTTGCTCCTTGTCTTCTTCTTCTTCATTTTAGTCTTCTCCTTTTCTACTTACGATTGGGTTTGGAAAATAGTGATTGTGTACAATGATTGAGGTGAGTTTTTGTTTGACGTTTAATGGTGATATCAATGGTGGTTGGCAACAACACTGAGTGGAGAAAATTGAAGGGGATGGGAGACGTGTCGGGGGGGTGGCGGTGTGCCATTGTCAACTGGACAAGGCCAGGGGCACGAGCTGGCCGTAAGATGGGACAGCGATTGAGGGGTTGTTATGATCATCACTACACAACGATGATCTCTAGCCAACGGTGGTCACTGCTTGGCAGGGGCGGATCTCTTCTATGCAAGTCTTCTATGCAAGGGTGTTTATGTGAACACCCAAAAGTAAAAAACAATGGGAATATATATATATATATATATACAAATTAGAGTAATAATTTATTTATTAGTATTTTAAAGAGAAAATGTGTAATTTTGAACACCCAAATTGTAAACACTAGATCCGCCACTGCTGCTTGGTGGTGATGGCTGTTGACAGAGTAACTATGAGGGTGGAGATATAAATCATAAAAGACATTTTTTAAAAGTTTTAAAATTAGTCCTAAGGGCTTTTAAATCTTATCATTCAATAAAGGCTTATTAACATTCACAATCTTTTATATTCTTATGATCTAGAGCTTTTTTAACTCCAGGGGGTCTGGGGGAGGGGGCCTGGGGCCTGGAGTAATCAGGGCTAAAACTCACTCCATTGAGTTTCAAACCTTTATGTGTCTAGCGGGATTCGAACTCGAGACCTCCCACTAGGCACGCTATCTTAGTAACATTAAAGATAATGGGCGTGTTTGGCATTTAATGGTTAACTGTTAGCGGATTATGTTAGAGGGTTGTCAATAACGTATTCAGTCAGCGGGTTTGACTAGTGAATAAGTTAGCGGGTTATCAAAAGATGTTTGGTAATTTAGTTGTTTGGTCATAAAATTAGTAGAAAACGTCATATTTTAAAACGCTAACTCAAAACTCTTCTATTTGCAGCGTTTCTGACCAAAACGCTAGTGCTGAACAACTATTTCAATTCAGAACTTCATAAATTTCAGCCACAGCCAATGCAAACATTCAATCAGAACTCTATAACAGCGAAGAGGCCGTTTGGAACCACTGTTTTTCGACTTATCAATCAACTTTTTCACCAAACACGTAATTTTTGATTTCGCGCGCTGAATTGTGTAATAAGCATAAAAAGTAAGGTTAGAGTTACTTTTCTGGCTGTATTGGCTGAAGTTACTGTAGATGACCATTTTAGCTATTTTTACGTATAATTTTTTCTTTATTTTATTAATAAAATATATTTTTAAAATAATTTTTTCTTAAATCAGCAGAATCAGCCAATGCAACCAATGCAACCACTTCAGCCAGAACTTCAGAAATTTTAGCAGAAACAGCCAAATCAGCCGATTTTCATGCTACCAAACGGGCTCGAAATCAATCAATTCAGTCAATTTCAATTATATCAAACGGGCTCTTAATTTTTACGTCCGGGCTCACTCACACAAAGTTAATACGCCAACAGGATTCTGAGCAACTTTTTTTTGAAAGCAACCTAGGCTCTGTTTGCAAGCCCTTAATTTAAGTGATTGTGGTTTTTTTTAAGAAAAAATCACGTATTTTACCAAACACTACCAACTTTTACTTTTCTCGGCTTTCGTGTAGAATCTACTTTTTACTTTTTCTATTACACAAAAATCACTTATTTTACCAAACACTACCAACTTTTATTACTAATCATTTTTTCCCAAAAAATGTTTTTATTTAAACACAATCACTTGCAAACAGAGCTTTAATACTTGTATATTCGGGATTACTACGGAGTATTTGGTTTTATTGTACTACGTAGTACTCCCTCCGTCCCGAAATTATTGTCCCGTTTCTTTAACTTCCTTATTTGGTAAAGAAATCTACACCAAACAGTATCAAACAGTGCAAAACAGTACAAAACAGTATCGATACAGTGTTATTTTCTTAATCTGTGTGAAAAACTAAACGGGACTATAATTTTGGGACGGAGGGAGGGAGTACTAGACTATTAATCTTAATACGCCGTACTTGCGAAATGTGAGCAAGCACGGGTCAGAAAGCAGCCCATTTCAACACGTTCGGCGAAATGTCTCTCAGAAATCTTTCATCGCAACCTGCGATCTAACCAAATCCAAAGCTGCAGCAGTCCCTAATTTTAGAAAGAAATTGGGAAGAACATGCCTTTCAACAGCACAGTGTTGGTTTCGGTGGCGACGATCTTCGCCGAGATCTGGCAGCGCGTCGCCTGCCTGCCAGAGCACATCCCCGGCGACCAGCTATTAGATCTGGTAATCTGTTTCCCTTCCCGGCAGCTTGGCCGAGTGATCATATGCGTCTGGGATTTCCTTTGCTTCTCAGCGACCCCATATTACGGTCATCCTTACCAGTACAGCTCCTCGGGTGAAGAGGAAGACGAGTACAGCCATCCTTACGGTGGTATAGAGTTCAACAACGAAGGAGACGGCGACCAGTCATTGAGTTCGGATTGAGTCTCCCGATCAATCGTGGTAGTTTTGCGGCGGTGTATATTAATTATACTCTGTTTTTTTAACGAATTAATTTAATTACTCTGTTAAAACCTTTCTCTTCTTTTACTCCGTATCTTTTAATTTTTTAAAAAAAAAGATCTTTTGCATTTCTTTATTACGTAGTGTAATACGTAGTACGTAGTAATATATATTTGGGGTGACATTTTTAAATATGTACTGCCACATTTTGGCGTCTCATCATTTTATATAGGTGTCTAATTTTGCAATTATTAATACTATAATGGAAAAGGTAAAAGTTATGATTGAGAGTAACAAAATAAAATGTTGTGAATAATTAAAAAATAAAATAAAATAGGTAAAGTTGGACAAAGAAAGAAATGTTTTTGGTATCGAATTGATGGTTTTTAGTTCAAAAATATATGCCCATCCTTCTCACTCAATGAGTTTGATAAAAGTGATTGGTGCAAATGTTACACATTCCGATTCAATGAAGATCTTCCTAGTATTGCATAAACTATTAAAAAAAACTAGAAGTTTTTAGTGATATATACTCCGTATTAAAAAAGTTTAATGCTCCGATTGGATCGTTGGTAATGTAACAAAGGGAGCAATAGTTGGTGATGTTTGTAACGAAACGGTTATTTAAAGGTAATTAGAAGTGCCAATATGGCTGTAATATTGTTGAACGTTGAATTATGTAATAATTAGTTACTTTTCTGACTGTATTGGCTGAAGTTACTGTAGAGAATCATTTTAGCTATTTTTTCTTTATTTTATTAATAAAATATATTTTAAATATAATTTTTCATAAATCAGCAGAATCAGCAAATACAACCACTTTAGTCAGAACTTCATAAATTTCAGCAGAATCAGCCAATACAGCTTATTTGGGTATTACCATACGGGTTCTAAGTGTAATTAAAGATTAGGGATCCATACATTCTTTTAATTACTATTTTGTAATTAAAAGAATGTATGGGTCTAACGTTTTTAAACCAAACGGTTATTTAAAGGTAATTAGAAGTGCTTTCCAAATAATAATTGGCTTGCTTTGACGAAGTGTCTTGATATACACGCACGCACACACGCACATACATAACAAATAATAACAAGAAACACATGGGATGGCCCCATATACTGTAAAACACCCCTCAATCTTGTATCCTACATTAAAGAGATGGTCATTTATTGTCACAATAAATACGTACCAAGACTTGAATGAGAAGAACATCAACCTCATCAAGAAGCTCACTAATCCAAATAGTTTCAACGTTCGTGGCTGAGTATCCAACTTCTCTTGAGGATTTAGGATAATCAGTTGTTTCTTGGAATTCCAAGATATGAGACTACGCTTAAAAGGCAGAGCTATTAAGTAAGAGAGAGGGAGAGAGAGCAATCACATTATTGATTTTTGAACTCTTACTTCTGCCCAAAGGGCTGCTATTTATACTAATCATAATAAATGTTAAGTGAATTAATGCACGTACACAAGTAAGCTAGTCCGTGGCGGAGAGCATCAAGGTGGCCAAGAAGTAAGCACATGGCAAATTATTAAATGCGGTGGTTGAGTGTTGTAAAGTTCTGAAGCGAAGATCTTTTGTGCCGAGGCCGAGGGCTTCGCCCCTGAGACGTGAGGGCTATTTCCCGAGGCCTCACCCTGAGGCGAGAATGATCTGGTTCATATGTATGGGGTGTCTTTTCTGTGAGATGTCGTCATTTGAAGCCATCTAGCTTGGTGTCAATGGGTGTCCAGATGCTGTTTTGGACCATTTGTAATTTTTGGGCCTGTCGAGGTGGCAAGAGTATGTGGGTTGGGCCATATACTCCATCAGGAGTCCCCCACTCCCTTTTTCAAGAGCTGTTCAAGGTAAAGGGAAGTAGTTTGTTCGCTTTCTGAAGGTTCGCCTCTCATTTTGATCCATGGAGATTTCTT